TTGCTCAAACTGCTCTATGCATTGCTCTTTTACTCGTTTTATTACTCTTTTACTCTTTTCACTGTTCAACTTTTTCTTTTTATCGTTCAAATTGAGTTTTTTGAGGTGTATATTGATCTTTTCATTGTTAAAATATATTCTTTTCATTGCTCAAACGGATCTTCTATTTTTATTGTTCAAAACAAACTTCATATTTTTCAATTGGTCTTTTTATTGTATAAATTGGTCTTTTTAATGTATAAATTGCTCTTTTCATTGTATAAATAATGCTCCGTTTATTGCTCAAATCTCGTTGGTAATCTCATTGGACTGTGTAGGCTTGGCGTTTTCTTCCCTCTGCAATAAAAAGGCCAATCTGAAAAGTAAAGAGTTCTGGATTTGCATGAAACGACTTTGGGCTGGGGGAAAAGAAGAAGAATCCGAACACACTTCACCATTTCGGTGGACCGGGATAGAAAGCTGGAGTTGGTGTCTGAAGTGGGGAAGTTGATGAGTATATCTGAGACTTCGGGGTGTGGATCTTGATCGTTGGCTCAATATGCAGAGGCTTTGGGGTAGTTGGTATAGCGGTGGCGGCGGTAGTCGCAGGTGGAATGCTTTCCAGAATTTGAGAAGGGAGACTGTGAGGATGTAGGTCTTAATGAGGACTTCTTGGATTTAAGATGGGAAAGAAGTAATTAAGAAGTAATGGACGCCACAATGAGATATCGCGAGGAGACGACATGAATGATCTCGAGGAAGAGTACATCCCTTAATAAGTGGACTGAATTTTAACAAACTTCTTTACACGCATGGGGTGTATACTTTGGGCCGAGGTCGGCGAAGAAAGCGCGAGATAACTGCAAAACTAAAGCTGCTACTGGGAGGTGGCCGGGGGCCGTAGCCGTAGCAGGCAAGTGTTGGTCCAAAATCAGCTGTGAAGGAGTGAGTCAAGTCACCGACATCGACAAATGACACTCTGCTGATCACAGGCTGGGTAAAATGTTTTTGAAAACGGTAATGGACCGGTTTCTTAAATTGGCGAATGACACTCGTGGTGGGTACATGAACTGGTATATCAGAGAGCCAACCTCGGCAAATGTCACTCTGCTCCGAGAAACCTTGAAAAACAGAGCGCAACACATGTCATTCATGGCAAGTGTCGCCTCGACTCGACCACGCAAGGGAAAAGGCACGTCAGGTTGTCCTCAAAAGACCGCAAAACTACACATCTACTGGCACATCTAAAAGGACTGAAAAGAGAAAACAGGACCAGGATGAAACATGATAAACAGAAGTAAGCATATTTATGGGACACCTGTATGAAATTTTTGAAATTAGGAAACAGCTGGACAACTGCTCTTATATGCTTGTGAATCTTTAGTCCAGTTGTTTTACTCCTGGAAAACGAAGATGAGAAGTAAATGTACATGTCTTCCTCGGGTTAAGGAATTGAAGTATACAGCAAAAAATACTGAGTAATGATTATGAGAATGAAATTTTGACGGATGGACGAATGACATTAAAAAGGTGGATTAGAACCTGACTGTCAGTCTAATCGGAACTCTTAACAATGAAGTCATAATGAAGTCCAGGAAAACGAAATAATGCCATTCAAGAAATGCATGATTTAGGCGGGCAGTGACTTAATACATATAACAATCAATATACCAATGACCAGAGTAGGAATAACGAATTAAGGGGAACTCTTTCAGAACTATTGAATTATTAGAATATATAGTTGTTTTACATCGAAAACCAAGAAATTGAAATGTACATAATTGCCTCTTTGGGTTCAGGAACTGAAGCGCCTTGGGTTGGCCATGTGAGTGCATTGTTGCAATACCGAAAGAGGCAGATGGTTGTAGCAAACACGGAATAGTCTGAAAATAAAATAGGGAAAGGTATTTTTCAAACTGTCACACCTGGCTATAAGGTTTGGTGACGAAAAGACAGAAAGAAGTAAAACATGAGAAATTTCGAAAACACGTCTGGATATTCATAAGCAGAGATGGGTTATAAGTATTAGAAATGTCATTACGCGTGCGGTCACTTGCCACCTTGGAAAGTGCACTCTTCACGGGTCGATATATCTGCAGTACACATCCGATCAGATTTAAAGCTATTGCCAGAATCGTGAGCAACGATGTGCAGATGGATGACGAGGATTTAGAAATGAGTCCAGTCAAACAACAGAATTTCAGGTCCAGAGGCATATCAAAGTTTGAGGATAACTTAAGACCAAGGAGCCTCAGGCAACTCTTTCTTCAGCGGTTACCTCCTTCCAACAAACTGGTAATTGCAAGAAATCCCAGAAATTGTCCATTATTCTACGAAGACTTGAGACAAGTTTTTACACTGATAATTTGTCCAAGTTGTGAATTACTTTCGATTCTATCTGTTGCCACATTTGCATTGGATCATAGTTGAGATGTAGTTATTGAAAGATTTCTCTAGGTTTTATTGTTCCATTCCTACACCTTCTTATTTTGTATAAATCAAGACACGTATTGTATCCTTATGTCATGACTGGCCATCTATATGAGGAGATCAGCTTAAATTATTAATTTAAGGATGACAAGGCAGAGTAAATCGGGCAGATAAGAGTAAAAACTGCCTTAATAACAGAGTTTAATTTCACATCAACTTCTGGGAATCGAAATGTTTGGTTACAAGAAACTGTACTGTTCTCGTTAATTTCTGCTAATTGTTGCTTATTAATTGATTAATTCAATTCATTTATTCCCCAAATGCCCGGCTGGTGTGCGACTGTGGAGTTGGCCTTCCAGATACCTTCTAATAAAAAAGATGTGTGGAGTAAAGAGCGAAACCCACGTGTAAAACGAGTCGCCAAACAAACGAACAGCTGTGGCACAATTAACACAAGTGCGCTTCACGTGAAACTTTCACTTTCAAGATGGTTAATACTTACTCCCAAATCACTCATTCACCAAATGCTCAGCAAGTCGGGTCAGACACTATGATAAAATAGACAACGAATCAGCTGTTACACAGTCAAAAGTTCGTTTTCGTGTCGAAGTTTTGATCACAAGATACTCACGCTGTGGCGCCTTTACATCAGACGGGAAGAGTTCACTCGCCCACTGCGATCTCTTCGTGGGCGTTTGTTAAACACATTAACTTCTAATGGGCTTGGCGGCGTGCCAAATAAAATACAGTGTGCCCCCCCCAAAAAAAACAGGTTCCCTTCACTAACTCTTCTGTTTACAGTCCTAGAAACAAAATCTCGAAGCAGATTGAAATCATATTATACAATCAAATCTACTCAAACTCAAAGAAAAACAACAGAGGAATAATGCTCCAGATAGTATTTGGTCCTTATTTTTTACAGTTGATGTAGTGGGTAAATGTATAACAGTATTTTCTTATTCGCAACTTTTTTGTTTACTTCCCTAATTTAAGGTGGCTCCTCAGAAAGATGCTCTTAATGCTGTGCCTGACTTGCAAAAAGTATATGAAAAAGATGGGGATGAGGAACGCAAGGAAGATCCCGATTCAAAAAATGAGTAAGACGACGCCGTTTTTTGTTTCGTACATCTTTACAAGTTCAGTTATACTCATCTTTTATAGCACATCGTATAAATCCTTCCCAAAACATGCTTACTAGGGCCTATGTAATATTCGTAATGCAAATTATCCAAGAAGGTATCACTCGTTTTCTTGTTAATCGCCTTCTCGATGACCCTTTCATCGATGCCCTCTGAAAAATGATGAACCATTTCATTCTTTTCGTCCCTCAGTGAAGCTGGAACTGATGGAGATGAAAATAGTGACAAGGGATCGGAAGCAGACAGTGAGGAAAGTGATGTTCCTCGGAGAAAACCATTCAAGAGAGGGAGAGACCAGACGAGAATAAGAGACAACCAGGAGGATTTGTCAGGTAGGATAATTTTACACAGAATCTCCACCAGCTATTCAACTCATGAAATGATTCGCCACCAATTTACCCAATGTAAGAGCCTGGTAAGGAGGGGAACATGGCTGTCACATGAGTAAACCTCTTATCCATATCAATTTGAAATGCAAATACGCAACACAAATATGGGTACATGTAACAGTTAATCTTTACATCAAAATGTGCACTTTCGTATGCTTTGGCTGTTGTGCACTAGGCTCCAAAAAGTAGTAACTTAATCAATATTGGGCAAATATTTTTAACCCGTAGACTTTGATCTTGAAACTGTTAACTTCAGATTGTCTGCTGTTAAAGTTTTATCTAAAGTGTTATGCATTATTGGTTTATTTTCAAACTTCTTGTGGCGTGCAGGCTGGATCGTGGCTTAATTTACAAAAATTCATAAATTTTTATTCATAAATACATGGGACAGTTTTTCCATTCCTATTGGTCGAAACGCATCATGTGACCGTATATTAACATTTTTATAATGCCCGCTGAGAAATGATAATGCCCGCTACTTAAACCACGCGCTGGCATCTGGATACAAGACGGTTCAATCGGGTCTGATTGGTCAGGAGTGTGTGTGCGTGCTACGCGCCACGTTCATTGAAGGGGGTTCTATTGGACAACTTTCAAAAGGGGATATATACCATAAAATGGACGGGGGTGTTCAGAAAAATGAAAGTAAAATTTTAGAACAAAATCGATGGAAATCCATCATATGTTGACTTCTTTTGACTCTCTGATTTAAAAGGTATTTATGAAAGGGAAGAAATATGTGCTGGGCCGGTGTCTCATCTTTCCGGCGTGCTCGGATTTCCGGAAGAACTCACCGGATAAATGAGCACGTTGCCGACTAAGAAACGTGCCCACTCATCGACCGGTGTGCTATGTTTTTCTAGTCGCACATGTACATGTACATACACTCGGGGTCTGGTTCCGCATTTGGCGCAGTCCAGGGGTAAATAGAAGGGAGCAAATATACAGAGGAGACTGTATGGAAAGGTTAACTTGTTTGATCCACATTCCACGCATCACAGCCGCACCAGGGGGTGTATTTTTTCAGTATTTCCTATAAACGCAATGCGTACAATTATGCTAAGACACTGAGAGAATGGCCACAGTGAAGAGCAGGCCCTTTTACAACGCCGCTGTTATTACTGGGTATTGAGCTAGATAGTCACAAGTCAGTCTGCCCCTTGCCCAACTTTGGTCCCTGCCTGAGACCTGATGCTCCTCTATGCCGATTCCGTTATTCCAAATGAGGATACGACCCACTTCGCAGATACCGTTTGTTCTGTGGTACTGTGCTTGTACACGTACATGTACATGTACACTATAACATAATAGACGAAATGTCTGCAAAAACCACTTCGACGGGGGCGCACGGACGTCCGCACGAACTCTCACATGCCGTGACCATGTGATGTGGGAACTCAGCACGCCGATAAAGAGTATGAGCGGCCATCAGAGCAAAAAAAAAGAAGACTATTGGACAAACATAAAATTAATACGAAATTAATACATTTACTTAAGTCTACCGCAAATTATACAACCCCACGAAATAATATAACCCCACACTATTACGTAACCCCGGAAAATTACACAACTCCACCAAAAGAGTCAATTCCCCGAAATTAACCCCGTCCACAACCGCGGCTTTGTGCGAAGATTAGTGCATACCACACATACTGTCTATACACCGTGCAACTGCGGGTTCAATGTGGGCCTGCTGCTGGCCAGAGCTTTGCATACTGGGCATACCACAGCCCAGCAGTCACGGTCAAAAGAATACCGGCTTGAAGGGGTTTTAACCCCACACACGTTTATATAGCCCTACCCAGCGAAAATTAAATTCCCGGCAGTTATACTATTCCCCAAAAGTAGATAACCCCGGAGAAACATATAACCCCGAAGAAGAATACAACCCCGAAAAATGTTAATTCGAAAAACATATATAACCTGCATAATTGTATAACCTGGCATAAATACAACTCGGCGGCAAAAACAGTAATCCCCAAGCCCAAAAGAAAACCCCGCAATGAAATTGTTTCGCAAACAGACTGACCCTTTTCAAACGTCAGATGGCGTTTTGCATTGTTTACCATCATACAGACAGCTGATTATCATAAAACTTTTAGAGTCGGACAGCGGAAGTTCGTACATTTTGTGATTAATTTATTTGGATAGTTAATATTTTTCTACATTTTTTGCTTAATTAATTCAATGTAATTTATATTCATTTATTTCCTTGTTCTTACTGTCAAATGTACTCCAATTAATCAGCCATGAATATTGATATTTCATTGGCAGCAAATCACGGCACGATGACTAGATGGTCCATGGATGCTATTTACACACGAGGCTAGCGCCGAATTTAAAAAATATTCCCGTAGACACTATAAAATATATAGACTAAAAGAAATTCCCGCACATCTGTAGACACTGTACGCACGTACGTGTACTTACGTATGGGTCATACACGTTCATGTGCATACTGTACTGTACATGTACATGTATGTGCACAATGTACATGTGCTGTACATGTACATACAGGAATATGTACGGCACATTGCATGCACAGTACAGTAGATTCAGTGGCGTGCATAATCCCGGCGCTCCAGTGCTGTTCCGTGTCAGTTTGGCCTGGCTATCGCGTCGATAGAAAAAGAAAAATATAAAATAAAACGGAAAAAGAGTCACTTGTGAAAGGAAAAAAAAACGAGAAATTCTGGCCCGTCAATAGCTAAAAAGCGGAAAATTAAATTCGGTATTTTCAACAAAAAAGCGGCAATCCGCTACAAAGCGGAGATTTCACACCGCTGATAATTTAAAACAAGCAAAATCATGCTGACAAGAATATCAGATTAAATCCGTGCTCTGATATATAATATTCTTGTCGATATTCTTATCACGGTACTACGCAGCCCTTCCATATTTCTAGAAATCATGTTAAAAATTTTTTCGACATGCCAATTTCCGCAAAACAGTGTATTTGGTCATAAATGCATTGCTTTCATGCACTCTGCAGGCAGTGAGGACAGCGTAGAAAAGCCCTTCTCTAAGTCAAGTCCTGGAAGCAAGTGTCAAGTGGAGTCTGACTCAGAGTCATCACAAGACATCAGTCCTGGACGGAAACGAAAATTTTCGAAACCCGTGGTGAGCAACGATGGGGAGGTGGAAGACGACGATTTCCAAATGACTGCAAAGCCAAAGGACCCAGCCCCAGGCAGCTACTGCAGTAAACCTCTCCTAAGAAATCGGTAATTACAAGGAATCCAATGAATTATTTCTCATTGACGAAAACATGTTTTGATACATGTATTTCTAAGCTGTAGAATATTTATGATTCTATGTTCTTGTTATCACCACTGGTTTCAAATCCAAGTTGTTGAGCTGTCTGCCTGTAATTTTTTCCCAGTGGCGTATACAGGTTTTTTGGGGGGCGGCGCAATGTGAATTTTCTTTCCAGAAACGACGATATGAATTGTTTTTCATACTGAATAAAATCCGCACTCATCCTGTGTTTGAAAGAAATTGAAAAAATAAGAAATTTAAGTATAATTGAAATTAGCAAAATGCCTCCCAGAGGGGCACCTTGCCTCCCTCCCCCTCCAGCCGCTGGCTCCTTCCAAGATAACATGGCCATAGTTTTTAACATTCATTTCTTACCTTTTTGCTGGATAGGAGTGACTACACTGCCGTGTACTTTTTTATAACAAGGTTATTCCAGTTCACTCGTTAATAAACACTTCCATATCAATTACACTCTCACAGTGATGCTGGAAGCGACGAAGATGACAAGCAAGATGATGAGTCAGGTGAGGTCATTTTGCAAAATACAAAACACTTTATTAATGCATTTAACATCCAGCAGGGGGGCATTTCAACTCATTTAATGTTTCGAAGCCACATTGTGCAATAACCGGATTGTGGGTTTTAAGTTAATTTTCTTTTCGTTATCGGACGACAGGTGGATTGCACTTTTCAGAGCGCATCTTATTATGTAACACGTTCCTGAATTCCACTTTAAATCCGAGGCATTCCCTGCCCTAACTTCACCCTTGCTTGAGCAGCGTAACCTCGCCACACACCCGATATCTGCTCACTTCTTTAACTTTAAATGGATCAGGTTTCAAACACTGTGCTAACCAAGATAGCCTATTCTTCACGCTTTCCAGACTCTATCTAACTCTATCGACTCTAAAGTCGAAACAGCCCTCAAGAAGCAGCGCCCTTCAGCCGATATTCCTTTCGTATTCAAACGCAACGGCAATAAAGATCAATTTCGGCACGCCAAACAAATCGCCGTATTGGCTGATTCCGCCCTGGCTTCGCTCAACCTAGGCGACGTCCTGTCTGCAAAGAAGCTACTCACACAAATCCTATGAGCCGTTAAAGAGCGTCAAGGCTGGGGTACAGTCAAAGAGTATTCGGCTGATGATCTCGCAGATGACTCTGACGATGAAAAGAGACTCAACTTGAGCCGAAAAATCTGCAGCCAGTAAGAAAGGTCAAACCGACAAGAAGGCCAAGTCCAAGGCTGGCATCACTCCTGCTCGTCGCTACATTCCAGCTCCTTATTCTTGGTAGCACGTTTCGGTCAGAATTCCGCACCTGTTTGGCAATGCGGTATCACAAGACACGTCTGAACCGTCACTCCTTGCGAGCCCTTCGACAACCGGACCCAGAGGAGTTCCAGCCCTGAGCACCTGACTCAGGGGGACATTAGAGATTGGGAAGCAACAAAACCAAAAACTACCAACCACACCCCATTGGGAGTTCAAGGTAAACTCAATCCTTGTACTTCATATTGGAAAAATGTACTCCAGGCCTAGCCAATTTGTGTTAGACGGGATGGATTCAGGCTAAGATAAGATACATCTTATGGAAACCCCACCATGAGTGCTCTTACAGAATAACCGATCCAGTTTGGATAACCCTCAATTTGTTGAGACTGCTATTGCCGAGTTGATTCAGAAACGTTGTTTGTTAAAAAAAAGTGGCCTCCCATATTGTTGCAACCCCTTAACTGTTACGGAAGGGGAAAAGATGTGATTGGTAGTGGACTTGCGTCACCCGAATAAATATATTTGGAAGTCAAAATTCAAGTACGGAAACTTATACCACATATCCGCCTGTCTCGATTATGGTCAATTTTTATTTCACCTTCGATCTCCAATCCGGTTATCATCATGTCGACATATTTCCTGCCCATCAGAAATATCTACGGTTTTCATAGTTGCATTGAGATTCCGTCACCAGAATAGTATGTCTTCACGGTGCACCCCGTCGGACTAAGCACGCGTCTCTTTTTTTGTTCACTAAACTAACTAGGCCCTTAGTCCATTTTGACGCCGACACGGGGTGCAAGCTTTCGTGTATATACACAGGGTCTTATCATCTCGCCTGACTTCACTTCGGCAAGAGCCAATAAATCACTCGCGCGAAACACTATTTCACGCAGCGGATTCATTCCTAGCAAAACGAAATGCAATATGCAAGTGCGAGTGCAATATTTATGTTTACTCATCGACTCGCCTAGCTACAAATTCCTCGTACCGCAAACGAAAATTACCACAGTCCTTGCCACAATCCCAGCATGGAGGAAGGAACACAGTGTCGTTACACAAACATTATAAACCTATCACGGTAAAACGATTGGCACGGTTCTCAGGCCAAATAATTTCCATGTCTTTAGCACTTTGTCCAGTGGCAAGACTAATGACGCGGCGTTCAGACGTAGACATCGAAACTATGTCTCCGTGAAATGATCACATGCGCCAGAGCAAAATCTCCCTGAGCGAGCTACAATTTTGGGTAACAAATGTCGTTTCTTTGAACACCTTCACAATTCACTTTCGGCTGGCACCTTCCCTCACAGTATGATCAGATTCCTGTGCTTTCGGTTACGGAGTGCATCCGAGCAAAGGAACAGCTCGACCTGGTGAGAGCTATCGCCGCTGTTAACCGCGTCCTCGCAGATCTAGTCACCGTGGTTTCCGATCGGAAAACTCATAAGGAGTGTACGAACAGCTCCAACGTTCCAAAAATATGTAGCACGATTGGCCCCAAGCAACATTAATCTCTTATAAAACATAGCCAACCGAAGCAAAGTTTGTTATAATTCGCGTATGAGGGCTGTGAGGATGGCTCTCCATAGTTTTTGTAAGGCATGATCGGCCTTAGTGGGTGTCGACCACTGGTGTTTAGTCCGTCCACATATCGCGCTTTAGCGACATTGTTGTCAGCACATTGTTGCTTTTGTCTCGTCCCTTTTTTTTTTAGACAGATGGTCATCCCAATTCCGTTCCCTCGGCGATCCGGAGCTACGTTATCTCACCGATAGTCTGATAGTACTCTGCCACAACTTTTGATTGAAATCCACAAGAAGATATAGCGCCAGCTGGAAACAGTGGGATTAATGGATTTTATCCAAGATCAACGTCCAAACTTTTCCCAATAAATCCACCAGACTTTGCGCTTTATCTGCGCTTTCCCGTACACCCAGGAAATCTGCAGCAGAATTCACCGTAGCCACAGCTAATTGGGCGCACAGCTTAGCTGGCCTACCATCACCAACGGAGCACCACCTGGTCAAAACTGTTTTACAAGGTTACAGACGACTCCTCACCAGCTCTCAACAGGAAGGGAACCCGTTTCTCCAGAAACACTTACGAAGCTCACAGGCAGCCAGGCGCTGCTTTAGACGATCTGCGCATTCTGTTTGTGTGTTTCATTTGTTACGCCTGATCTCTTCGACTTAATGTGGGGGAACGATTATTTTGATTTTGCTTAATTGTTCACATATTGGACCGAAATAGGGTGCTTGTCTTCTTACTGTTAAAGTCAGTTGCCATAACATTTGCATACGCAAATGATTCTAAAAATAGAACTTGTATCGATGCAACGGAGGGATACATCTGCAAAAACTTAGATTTTTGGCTTGTAGAGACGAGTTGAAAAAGAAAAAGCAATAGTGGCAAGGGGAAGGTGGTTCGTAATGGCGTCTTGTCAACCCTAAACAAAGCCGGCATCAATGTGATTTAAATTACATCCAAATGACAATAAAATAGCAAATCTGAAGCTACTGGACCCCTACCTCTCTGGTGTATTCTTCTGTTTTATTCGTCACAATTGAGAGGCTCTTATCGTGTCTGACATGTCTGGGCTGAGCACAGGGCAGCGCAACCCCGCGTATGCTACATTATTATGACATCAGTTGTGTTCGTTTCTGTAGCATGTGATTTGACAGGCTCTGTTTTTTCATCGGCCCCAGTCCGAGACTAACCAGTTTGGGCAAGGCAGTACCGTAACTATTGCACGAACATTTGATAGAACTTGCCCTGTCACCATCGTAGAGGGCATTGGGTGACCTTTGCCGGTCCTTCGCCGGCTGACCCGCACCAAACAGGGCCTCGTTCCTACAGAATATAAACTTGGTTACACTAGAACCAGAAAGATTGTTTTGCAAGTACTCGGCCCTTTTGTTCCAATATCCAGAACTGTGGTTTACACAGCCTCGGGTAAGGAGGTTTAACCGCTGCTTCAAACGCTTGGGTACCCGTCATTATTTAATTTCAAGACACGGAAGATGGAAGACAGACAAATCTAGAAGTGCATATATTAAGCCCGATCAGGAAACAATTTTGCTCCCATTAGTAGCTACAGACCTCTCAACAAAATTAACCCTAACTTCCTAGGGTGTGTGCAAAATCATATTAAAATTGGAGGATTCGGGGTCGTTAGGGTTAATAATTCACTTTCAACCAAGCTCCAAGGAAATCCTCAGCCCTTTTGAAAGAAAGTTTGATTTGCACAATCAGTGCGTCGTATTTTTTGATGTACTTATTTTCTTCCGGCTTTTGAGGCCACAGAAAAGATTTTGGAATTTTATGTTGGTTGGATACATTACTCATGTGTACACAGAAGTTTAAAAACATTAAATTGTGGTGTGGGCGAGGCAGGCAGCTCGGTTTTATACCAATGTGCTCCAATGTCCGTGTCCATCCTTGTCATTAATTCCGATTCCCTGTATTGCACATGAGGGAGATTTAGAAAAGAAAATGATTTTCTTACAGAAGTGTATGGAGAAAGAAAAATTACGTTGTTACACTGAGGTTTAATTAATTTAATATTATATATTCGAAACTGCTGTATGTTACTTTTCTAATTATAAAAGTCGTTGAGCAAGAGGAGATATTTGTGGCTCAGTTTGCAATTATTCATGTCATTTTACAGTTCGTGTATTATTTTCCTATCAACCAGAAGACGGTGAGGGCAGCGCAGGAACGCTCTCCCCAAGCAACAGTGGAGGAATGGACGATGATTATGAACCCCCAATGAGTTCTTCGTCAGAGAATGTTTCGAGTTCAGAGGACGACTCAGACTGCCAGATGACTTCCGGTGATGAACAAGACAAGGAAGAGTCGGAACAGGAGGATACTATGGGTGATAATGAAAAGTTTGACCCTTCAACTGTCAAAAGACTTTACAAAACTTCAAAACACAAAGATGCTTCTGCCAAAAAATATCCTGCTAGAAAACCTCACAAGAAGAACCAGTCTGAATACTGGGAAAATTTGGAAAAGCATTTCCGGAAACTGGGTTGTCTAGGGCCATGTCAACCACTGAAGGAGATCTTGGATCAGTGGTGTCTGACATGGGTTGAGGATCTCGAGAGTTTAGACGGTAATTGCCCTTGTGGTAAAGAAGGAATTAGGTTTTTATGTCATATTAAGAACGTGAAAAACGGAACAGAAACATACGTCGGCTCCAAATGCATTGAGCGGTTTAATCTCGGTGATCGAACTGTTGCTGGGATTCTTCAAAACTTACTTCTTCGTGGAATAACCGTCACACTAGTTGATAAGAAAAGTATGAAGTTTGCCATCAAAAGAGAAAACATTGGGCTTGTGCAGAACCGAGAGAGATTCAAGATTTCAGGTTCCCTGCCTCTTCAGATGCCTCGAGAAGCCAAGAGGAACTATCCTATCCTAACAGTGACGGGTGGGGGAAAAAACAGAAGCATTGTTAATCAAATGAAAAAGGGCCTCGTGTATAAGTTGTGGCTCCAGCTGACCCTCGAAAAAGATGAAAGTGCTTCGGGTGTTTGGAAGATAAACATAACTCAATCTGTGCGTGTTAAAGCCCATTCTCCTTTGCCAAAGGATGTGCAGAAATACCTCCGAATGTAATCCCTCAATTCTCCAAAATACAAATACATTGATTCTGTTTTCTGAGAGGACACGGGATTTGCCCGTCCCAGAAAAATTAACTAATTATGTTAAACTTTTTCTCAGTGGGATGAGGAAAGAAACAACTGAAGTATACACATGTATCTCAATACATGCTGTTCAAGCTTCACTTTGGGGGTTAAATGCATATAGATTAACTTTAATGAAAGTGCCACCATCATGCCAACCACAGTTAATCACTAGCTGGTACAAGTCTAGTATCCGCACAACCTGACAGCACCTCCGTCTGCCAGTGAAGCTCAAATACAGATTGGCCTACATGTAGATACAAATTTAAAAATGATCGATATTCCGTGGTGTAGGCTATGTAGTCTTCCAAGTACTTCAAAAGGATGGATAATACAGACTATGCATATATATATGTTCGTACAAAGTACACCAGAGAAAGGATTGCAGTTTTGAGTGACACTTGAGTACAGATGTACTCTATACCGACGTGAATAAGTCGCACCTATTGTTATGTGTGTAAAAGGTATTACCATGGCAACCAGCGCGTGAATCAACATGCGCGCGTTCATACTCTCTTTAGTTCATTACACTTCCCGTTTCAGATGACATGCGCCTTTATATATTACACTCAACTCTCTCAAAGTGCATGCTCATCTCACCACCTTAGAGGGAGGTGAATAACAAGCATCTAACGCGTGTGTGAAGGCAAATCAATTGCACTGGTACCTTTTTATGCCACTTGCATACGGTCATAATTCACTTGATGAGAATGGAGGCTGATAACGAAGAATAGACCCATCCATTAAGCCTCACCCCAATATCTTCTAACTAATCACAGCCATGGTTTATGTCCCACACGCATGCACGAGAGTCAGACTGGTTCCCGTCCCGAACGTAGTCTTAAAGGCGTCCTCCGAACTTAAATCGTTGATTTCAAATGAGCCATCTCTGCCTGTTTAAATTTTGTGTGTAGGAAGATGTAGACAACTGAAATGGTGGTGTCATTTACGATTTCAAATAGTTGTTAAGTACACAAATGTCTGGAGACTGTGTTCGATGATGTGTTAAACCAATAAATATTAAACTACATGTACACGTGAAATTGACGTAACACAGCACAGTATACACGCAGAAAAAGACCTGAACTAGTGTTTGCAGAGCTGACAAACAGTTGAAGGGAAGATGACTACGGTGAATCAAAATACATATGAAATAGCAAGGCTGTGGCACACTGGCAAAACAGTTGTATATCCTGCAATGCCACTACAATTACATGTATTTTCCGTACCTATAAGCTTTTAGTGCGTTTTGGAAGATCTTCAAGTAATACAGATTTTCGAAGATGGTAAAACCCGTCTATTTCTCCTATAAGGCTTTGTAATGTGCCGTAATTTTGAACAAAAAGCTTTGAGATTTAAAGTAATTGCGTTGGTTATTAAAACTAAGTAGCAAAAATGTTTTAGAATTAATTTCATTCTCTGGAAATGCGTAACCAGTGCATTTTTTCCAATCCTTTTATTGTGTCATGCAAGAATAATAAAAATGTCAAACGCATTTGCATTAGTGTCTACTCAATTCGGTAGCTTAAATACGAAAGATGAAAAAGGAAACCTGCAAAAACAGGCATAGGAAGGACGGTAGCCGAACCTGATTTTGAAAATTAGGGTAAATTACCAGTTGGTTTAAGTTCCAAAAATTCAAGTTCTGGACAGATTATCTTGTAAACTTTTAGATCAAACTATAACTTTCTTAGCTTTTTCATCAAATGGCATTCGGTTTAAGTCTCGAATCCAATCAATCTGCACTTGTGTAATGTATTCCTCGGCACTCTTTGGTTTCTTTTGCCTAATTTTATTCAGATGTATTGTGTTTATTATGAGTTGGCGTTGATTTAGTTTAATACTGTCTGCTATATACAGTTTGCAAATACATGTAAATACTCAAACTGTATATTGCCCGTTGACCACTAAAGGAATGTTCTGGTGAGTTTAGATGGTTTTAGGAACCCCATGTCGCGTTTTATTGACTTCTGTGAAATTTAAGGAAACAATTTTCGTAAAAAACTATGTCTGTCGGTTTGTGTTTGCGTTTTTCTAAAGGTTGCGTACTGTGACGAAACAGGGGTATGCATGAATGCCAGTCTAAGTCATGAATTATTAAGCATTGCGTTGACCAATCAGCGTTGCGTAGAGCATTAGGTCTGGGCGCTTGCGGCGTGCTTATAGAGCGCGCGCACAATCAGTTAGTGAGTTTCGCTGCTGGGTCGCAGAGTGGCAGGATCGTGGAGGACGCTTTCTACCGTTCTGTGCTGTGACTGCGATGTATAGCGTGGACGCTGCACCTGGGGCGCTGCGTGTAGTGACTATAACTGGCACTAGGTGTAGTAGCGAACCGTATTGGGTCTAGATTACTTTAGTGATAGAGCTGAGTGTCGTGAACCTAGGCTGGGAGCTAGTGGTCTTTGCTGTTGGATTGCTTGTCGTCTGTAAGCACTGATAGTGGGGTGACGGCTGGAACTAAGGCAAACTTGTAATTGTGCTAGCTAGCCTTCAGGTTTACTTGATGTACTCAGATCGCTGTGAGGGTAATTTCCCTTTCGTTAGATCGACCCCGTTTTGCATGACACTCTGTGTTATTTGTGTGAGGGCTATCACTATTTAGTGAGGTAACCCTTGAGTTGTAGGCTAGCTGTGTTTAAGTTAGTCGGGTGGTTAGTTAACCACCTGAGGCATATTGTATTGCCTTGTGATGTGTATTGTGTACATAAACCTTGTGTGATTTATATACCTTATTGAATTTTATTGCAATAAATCAAATACTTGATTATTGTCCTTGGAAATCCTGTGTCACTGTGAGGTTTATTTAGGTTTCCCTGTGTTTCATTACTGTATTGCCAGATAAATCCAGTCTTTCCTAATTGGTGGTAAACTTCCACCAAACGAACTGCCCCTAGGCTTAGTCCGGCGTTCGTTAACTGATATCCCCCCTTGTGTCAGGGTAGCCGCTCATCCTTGCTCAAGGTTAATAAATATATTTGTGGGGTTGGACCAGGTCAATTCCATCCCTGATCCGGCCAGTTACTGGGTCCACCACAAGAGGTGTCAGTTGCATTCGCCACGGTACTTGTTTTTAGGCAATGGCTTCATTTAAGGCTACCATTATGTACTTTCGTACTATGTGCATTAGGTTGTACGGTCAAGTTAACGAATGCTGCGCTTCTTCTGCAGTGCGAAGGTTTATGAGAAAACGTTGAAGTACATCTTGTATGCAAAAAATCTAACAATTTGGGTATCACAACATCACCTAGAAATATTGGCATATACGAACATGTATCTAACGGTGCTCTCTCGTAGAGTGCGATCACAGCTTTGCCTTCGAAACATTTAAAAATACCGTGAATTTCGGACCTGTAGGCTGGAGTCATTAGGTCAAGAAGTCGAGTCCAGTCGAGTCACTTTGTGTTGTCGAGTTGAATCGAGTCTATTACGGAGCTGGAGTCAATTTGAGTCACAAATTTTTGAACAAAATACAATAAAAACACTACTATATGTAAGCCATATTTTTATTTTCATTTAGACATACTGAAACAAATTAGGGTGAAATTAGTCGAGTCTTAAAAGCTTGTACTCGAGTCGAGTCATTTGGTCACAGAGACTCGAGTCGAGTCATTTATCCGTCGGGACTCGAGTTGAGTCGTCAAAACTTGCGACTCGAATCGGCCTCGAGTCGAGTCACTGACTTGAGTCATTACAAATCCCCTCTAAAATGTTGGCTTCACTCCCAACTGCTGACTCTCTTACTTTGGAAGTACGTGATAAAGACGGGCAAAAAAATTGGCAGAAAGCGGATGTTTATCTTGTGCTAGTTAGAAAAAGGGACTTTGGGTGTTTATATTCTAATCGGTATGGAAATGTGGGGGAAACAACTATATCTGAGCTTAATGTTGATCGATTACTTTTGTGGTCAACCTGCTTGAGTCAAGAGCCTTTTTACTGGCGTCCGACTTTTGTTAGATTCGGTACGCATGAGCACAAACTAAGTGAGGGGGTCAAACATACGCGTACTGGCTTGGAACCATCAGTTTTCGACGATTGAGATTCTTTTGTGTGAATAATAAAAAAATTAACTAGCTAACTCACCAGAAATTTAAGAGATAAAGAAAGACTAGGATCGAGACGATGATCAAATTTTTGTTTGAGAAACTCTAGTGCTATCGGCTTGCATGTTATCACGCCCCGAACTTGATTGATTTTGCACTGTTTTAATGGGGCTTGGATTAATTCACTATAGGCGGTTTCTCATGAAAAGCTCAATTTTGTTAGTAGGCCGCTTGAACGCCGGAAACGTACAGTACTTAGTGGCAAGATAACACAGCGACGTCCGTGTATGTTCTTCGAGACTTATTATTTGAATAACCGAGCTGGATTCTTTCTTTTTTATAAACGGGAGCATTCATTTCTGTGTTATGGAAAAGTAGTAACATTAATTTTGCAAAACGTCTTGTCTCTAGTTTTGTGAACCATCTTGCAATTTTTTGCAACAGTTCAAAAAATCCCACGGGTTTTTCCATGTGTTCCTGTCACACCCTGGGTTGAAGGTGGTGAGTGATCCTCTTCCAAGAATAGTGTTCTTGGGCCATTTCCCCGCCGTTCGAACGGCGAGAACAAGAAAGCCGTTGGCTGAACTCGACCGTGGTGTTTTTCGTTTTTTCAGGGCGCTGTTGCTAAACTTCTGTTGGTGCCAGCAGGTTTAATCATTATCATTAAGACTATGAACGATCCGCTAGTGTCTCGGGCTGAGACGAGGGAAGGCTTGGTGATTTGATTCCACTCTTTTGTGGGACAAGACGATTCATAGTTGTGTGTGAAATCAGAATGTAAATTGAAACGCTTTTTAAAATTAACCCCAGTGGAAACTCAGTGAAATCCCATCTATTTGATCGAGTAAATGTTACTCGAATTCGTCTCATCCACGGGATAATATTCACTCTTTGGAATTTAGAGTCTAACAAGACATTTCAATTAGGCGTGATCGTAATGGAAAACATTATTGACAACCTGTTAATATTCAGCATTCAAGGGCATTACAGATCCAAAGAACACTGGCACTGGTAGTACGGCAGTTACGTACAGTGTACATGTACATTATGTACTATGTTCATGTACATGTACACATGTACATGACATGTGTACATAGTACATAATGCACAATCATTCGCGCACTAGTCGGTAGAGGGCGCTTCGTCTTTTATTTCTATGTTTTCGTTCTATATTTTTCACATTTTCGTTTAATATCAGTGAACTCGATTTGCACTATATCACCGTGACAACCGGTAGAGTCAGCGCTTCGTCATGTATATAAATCTAGGTTTTGGATTTAGCTTTGCTGATACATTTGTATAAGTTTGGTTTTATTTCAGATTCGTTCTATCAAGTTTTATTTTCGTTCTATATGTATTACTTGCGTCCTATATTTATTGGTTTGGGTTTTGTTTATCTGTTTTTGGTAATATATTTCCACAAGTTTGGTTCTATATTTTAAGATTCGTTCAATATAGTTTTATTTTTGTTCTACATTTACAGTTTTCGTCTTAAATTTATTAGTTTAGGATTTATTTTTATTTGTTTTTGGTCATATATTTCTACAAGTTTTATAAATATTTTCAGATCCGTTTTTACAGTTTTATATTCGTTCTATATTTATAACTTTCGTTCCATATTCATAAAATTTGGTTTTATTTTAATTCATATTGATAATATTTTTCAACAAGTTTGGTTCTATGTTTTCAAATTCGTTCTTTTTTTATTACTTTTGTCTTACGTATATCAGTTTCGTCCAATGTATATTACTTTCGTTCGATATGTATCTATTTGCTAATAAAGTCATAAAGGGCGCCTCATACGAAATAACAGCTTATGGAACAGATGTCATGATTGGCATGGATCTCGACCAATAAATTCTACGCATTCTGAAAACGCGGCAAAATAGAAACGGACATGTAATACAGGTTTTGCTCACAACGGTCGCCCAAGTTCAGCCTAGTCCGAACTTTGCTTTCCAGATGTGCACGAGCTTCGTGATCCTCGCAGATTTTCACATGATTTTGACAACATTCTTGCTGCAAGCCGAAGTAACCGCAAAAGACGGTAAGTAAAATCTGCATGTATTTGTCAATTTTATCGTCATGTTCATGGGCACAACCATCTATTTATATTCCAAGCAGCTGCATGCGGAGTCGTTTCCACAAACTGGAACAACAAAACATAGCAGGCTTGCCCGTGGCGCCGTCGACATCTGTCTCTGGCATCTTGAAAGTCAATATTATGCGGTAGTCAGTTGGGTAACATTAAAAGAGAACAGTGTTGGACAGTGCTTGTACAGAAATGAGAATGGATGATACTACAATAGTTGATTGATACATACTGGAGGTTGAAAATGCTCAACCCACTGAAGAGCGTGTGCGCCTCCACCATCGATTTGATCGCCCGCTCAAAAACTGGCCAAATTGTTCGGTTGTCGGGGACCCGCTTTTTAAGCGACTCGTAGCCCATTCCAGTCTACTCCTTGGTAATGAACATTCGCCGTAAAAGCTTCCCAAATACGTATTGGCTTCTACTTTCGTTGAAGGTGCACCACTACAAAGAAATTCCCATAGACAGCAGTGATAAATCCACATACTTCACAAAGATTTAAAAAATACTCATAACTCTCACAGGTGTTCAGGCTGCACAGAAAAATGATGTTCCACACATCCCCTTTCATTTTCCTTTCAATTTTCGGGGGGTTGACCAGAATTTTTGAGAAATTTTCCCCAGAAGCAGACCCACCCCTAAAATGAAGAAAATGTCCCTGTCCAGAAAAGTAGCCATTTTGAAAAACCATACCTCTGCAAAATGGCTCAAACAGTGCCACTTTTGGACCCGATTGCATCTAAATTGCTCAGAATTGGAAGCCCTGAGTCCGGCCTAGAGGTTCTGTGACATATTTCTTCAATTCTCCAGTTCCATGGCTCTCAGGACCCTCTAATATAGAATAATTTGAGTGTATAACTTTTATTAATGGGCTAGGCAGACATATTTCTGGCCTAAATACAAGGGTGCACCCTTGAGCCTCAGCCCAATACATGTCTGCAACCCCATGCGGAACCAATACTCAACCACGTCTCTGCCGACCTATCACTCGTCGATGGATAGGCCGGCGGGCGGGTGTTAATTAATTTGCGTTAGCACAGACTTTCTATCATTTTACTTACACAGGAGTGAGAAGATGTCGATGAAAGGTATCACTCCTGGACACACAGAGGGTGAATGCTCTCCAGGACACACAGAGGGTGAATGCTCTCAACAAGTAACTAAGTCCAGAACTCCATTTTCTCAAATACAAAATACTGTAAGTAAAATATTATTCTTAGTTATCTATTAAGAAGACTTGGTACAGAGAGGTGCTTTAAAATCTTACAGATTTGAGAATATAAACAAATCATTACATCTTTCAAACATTTCCATGAAAACGACTTAGATTAACACGGTAAGCCTATCTGGCCCATCAAGCTTCACGTCATTGCCAGTTTTCATTTCATTTATTTAATATCTTCAGGAAACATTTAAAATCACTTGAAAAGAAATAACCTTGTCCAAGTCCAAACAGAAATTCATTGTAAACCCTTATCTTTATGTTTTTTACTCAGCCTGCCTTTCACTGCGCAGTTTCCCTTAACCCGTCAGGCTTCACTGTAGTGGGTAAACTCGTAACAGGCCTATTTCTTATTTTCCCAGAAAAATGAGAATCTTCCGGAGGAGTTTTTCATTGCTGAGTGCACTCAAAAAGCCAACGGTAAACACAGAGACGAGCACTGTGTGCAAAATGAGTAAGATATTTCACCATTTTTGGGGCCTTTGTAAAGTACTAGTTCTCCATCTGGTAAACTGAGCATGGTCAGCAGTGGCATAAATCTGTGTCCATATTAGGGGATTAGGGAAGATAGGGGGGGTGACTTGCCCAGCCATGCAAATTAAAAGGGGAGGACACTGTATACACTACATATGGGGGCAATGTTCATGATAAAGATGTACATCTGTAATGTGTATCAAATTCATGCAGAATCCTACATCAGAATGGCATATTTATGGCTTTTCAAAATTGCAAGCCTTCCTTTTTAGTGATATTGCAAAAATTTTAGTTGTTGGGAAATCCTGAAAATTCTTCGCAATCCGCTTTAGTTTTTTTGCTCCTCACAAAAAAAGTGGGGGATGATTCAATAGTCCATCCCCCATCTAAGGAAGTGGTGGGTTACAAACCCCCACCCCCCAGGATATTTACGCCCATGATGATTAGTACGGACTACAAGCCCTCTTTCCTACATGTGTAATCCTTCATCTCACAATAATATAAAATACAATATGTGTACTCATAAGGCAAAACCTACAACAGGGTAGCTCATATAAAAAAGATGCCTTGATCGGTACCTCCTTAAAATCAACAAGTATTGTTATCTTGTTTATCCCTCTTTTAAGTGATGCTGGAAGTAATAATGGAAATGAAGAAGGGAAAATGGAGGCAGCCTGTTCAGAAAATCTTTTAGAGAAAGACGTCTCACAGAGAAAGACACCAAAGGCAAAGAAAAGAAAATCGAGAAGATTAAGAATTAACCTGGAAGAGTCAGGTGAGTTGATTTTGAATCTACAATATATTACTGATGTGGCTCAACATTTTAACGAATTGATTTTTTTATGTCAGACAAGCAGTTACGGATAAATTCTGCATTTGTTATTGTACATTTACATGTACTTTTCGGAGGAACAGGTTTAAGTTCTTTTTAATACTGCAATCGGTTCCTGGTACACGGTTTGTTTCCAAAAATCTTTGTAGCCTAAAGGTCACTTCTTTTGCATGTCGGCAAAAAAAGAGATCCCAAAATGAAATTCGGAAAACAGGTGTATTTTACAAATTTGTATTTTCTCACGTCATCCTTTAGACGGTGATGAGGAAGCAAGAGTGTCTATGTGCCAGGCAAGGAATCAATACATAGACAATGTGAACCTTGAGATTGAGGCGGTGTCCAGTGATGAGGAAGAAGGGGAAGAGGCTGACGATTTACCCCTGGAGAGAGAGAAGAGCGACACTGAAAATATTGATCGAGGAGCCTCATCATCTGTCAAAAGACTTAACAGGAACTCCATGAACAAGCACAATCCGGAAACCAAGAGGTGTACAGATTCTTCTTTCAGGAGTGGACATGCGAGCCCAGAACACATAGAGAGGCTCGAGAGTGGCCTCAAGCAAAGAGGCATTATCAGTCAAGGACAAAAATTGGAAACAACATCGGATCAAATTTGCCTAACAAAGGTCGAGGATCTTGGATGGACAGCAGGTCGGTGTTCTTGTGGCAAGGAAGGGCTCAGGTACTTGTTTCACATCAAGAACATGCTCACAAAAAAGGAGACATATGTTGGCTCACGATGTATTTTGTTATTCAAATTGTGCAAAGAAATTGCTGAGACTGTGAAGATGCTTCTTTGTAATGGAATCACAGGTACATTGATAGACAAGGACAATCTGAAATTCCTAATTCAGAAAAACACTGGACTTGTAAAGCACAGCAAGGAAATGAAAAAATTGGGGTCCCTGCCACTGCATCAAGATTCAAAAAGAGGGTGGGAAATCTTAACAGTGAGAGCTGAAGAAGGAATTGGCTCCAAGGTTCTTGAGATGAAAGAGGGCTTGGTGTACAAGATTCGCCTTCAGCTGACCTTCAAAGAAGATACAGATGGCTTCGGTCTTTGGCAGGCAGAAATGATTGATTTTGTGTCTGTGCCAAAAGGCATGATGCAGTCCACCCACAGGTAATCTTTGCAATATGAGTGTCCGTTTTACACAAATTAAAAATGATTGGTGAATACCCCTCATTTTTAAGATTAAAAAACTTCAATAAAATTTATATAAAATCTGGAATGAAAAACAACAGGGTATCATTTGTGGTTCTGATAATCACTTTCTGTTTACTCATTGATGACCATTACTAAAAAAAACTGCCAATTTTCATTTTTATTCTCAGTGATGCTGACAATGGTGGAACAGAAAAAAAGGAAACAAAAAAACACAGCAAGGGAAGTCAATGGGATTTTGACGGCGAGGAGAGTGACGAGGAATTTGACGGCGAGGAGAGTGACGAGGATTTTGACGGCGAGGAGAGTGACGAGGATTTTGACGGCGAGGAGAGTGACGAGGATTTTGACGGCGAGGAGAGTGACGAGGATTTTGACGGCGAGGAGAGTGACGAGGATTTTGACGGCGAGGACAGTGACATGGATGCTGACAGCGAGGACAGTGACATGGATGCCAACAGTGAGGAGTATGGCACAGACGCTGACAGTGACGGGAGTGACATGGGTGGTGACAGCCAGGAGAGTGACTGGTATGTTGACCGAGGACACAGAACCAGGACAGGTGGGCCGAAAAGAAGAAACTGCCAAGAGTCAGGTGAGTTAATTTTGCCTGACATGAAGTACTAGTTATGAATGCACTTGAAGCAGTTGACTAGTGTAACTCACTTTGCGTGACTTCTTGCCATATTCTAGACTTTAATATACCCATTACATTTACTGCTTCACAACGCGCTTTATTTTCTACTTACTGTTTGAGGCTGAATGTTTGCTCTGTTTCTGGTAACTACTATACTAAAATTTCTGCTAATTAGAGGTGGCACTGTGGTTCAGGTTAAATTTATATTCAAAAAGGGGGGTGACAGGGCTTTTTTCCCCCAAATAAAAAATTGCCCAAATAGGCATATTTCACTGCAGAAATGTTGTGTTCATGTCACCCCTCAGATACTGATGAGAGTGCTGAGGAGTCAGATTCGGTTGATTTGGAGGATGCAAACCCCAGTTTACACCAGTCTAACCAATGTAAGAGCAGAAACACCAGCAGAGACAAACGTCAGACAAGGTCGGGTTCACAGTCATCACAAAACGATGCTTGTGGGCGCAAACGAAAAATGGGCAAAGAATCAAAAAATAAAAAGAGGAAGAGACAAAAGACTTCAAACAAAAGGGAGATTAAAGTGGAGTTGGAACTTATGACAGAGGATTCCACGCCAGTGAACTGGATAGTTGTGACATCTCCTGCTTCTACATCAGCCTCTCATCAAGAGATCGGTAATTAGAAGATTCACATGAGGTTTCATGTTTACAAAACTTAACCTTGCCAAACAAAATTAAGAATCAAAACAAAAGACAGCAATTTCAACTGAAATTAACAAAACAAAAGGTTTCGTAACCTCTTCCATTTCTGTAACTTATTTCCAACTCTATTGATCACTGTTGGCTTTCACCTTTTTTCCTAATTGTCATTTATGCGAGCTACTAGCTCCTCCACTTTAAATATTACCTTCCCATTTTCCCCAAGTCAATGCTGTTGCTCATTGCCAGAATAGTTGACAATACAGCAAATACTTTATCTTTTCTTGGGATGAAGGTTGTTATCACTTGTAGTTTTTGTAATTACCTTCCAATTGACTCCTTGACGTGCATTCAAAGTAATATTAATGTCCATGTCCTCTTCTCAGTGAGGGTGAAAATTGAAGATACGAAAATAGAGAACGGGAACAGGTCGACAGTAAGGAAAGTGGCTCACGTGTCTCTGGAAGCAAAAAAGAGCAGGAAAGACCAGTGAAAAACAATAGGAGACAGGAGAAAATGGATGAGTCAGGTGAGTTATTATCTCGGAAGACATAAATACTACCATGCATTTACGGCAGCTGCCGATTTTAACTCTCTGAATGGTTTTTCTGAATCATACTGAACGGTCAATATATCAGTTAGAACCAGTTGCAATTGTCCTCTTCTGCAGTGTTATAACTGTGCTTGTGTCTTTTATATTTTGTTAACAAAAGTATAGGTATATGTAGCTTACTGCACAATCTCTGATATTTAAAAAGGAAACCCTCAAGAAATACACCTGAAATAGGCAAATTTTGCAAAAGGCATATTGTTTTGTTTTTTAGTCATTCTGCAGACGGTAATGAAACCAAAGGAGAGCCTTTGTACTGGACAAGTCACCAAGATGCGTCCCAAGCAATCTGCCTCAATCTCCATCTCAAAACAGCCCCTTGCACCAGTGCAACTGAGAGAAATCTGTGCTCAATAATAACAGTGAAGTCTGCAAAGACAGTTACTTCAAACTGAGAAGACAATCAAGACCTTGGAATGACTTCCACCAATAGATACTGATATGGAAGTTTTTTAAATATAACTAGTGTAGCTCTATCAGTTACTAGTGAACTGTTCTCCACAGGGGCCGGGGAGACAAAGGAGGAGTTAGAGGTGGGAGGAAACCGTCAGATGAATACATGTACTCATAATAACAGAATATGGTAGGGACTGAAAACTCAATCCACATGCCAGTCTGGGCAGGACATAAACCTGGGTAACAAAGAAGGCAGGCAATGAAAATATCACTACACCAGCCGGACTACCAAAACTCTGTTTATGCATTTGTCAATTTTGCTTACCTCTGTAGAGTGAAATTATGTTGTCTGTTGAGCATTTCACTTGCTTCCAATGTCTAAAACTTTCAGTTTGAGGTAAAATTATTGTCTCCGAGTCCTTGTAATACCTGTTGTTGAAAGGCATTCTTTGTTTCTGGAAACTGAAACTTCAGATTGATTGACACACGCCTGATGTCGAATGCCAGTTTTCATTTTATAGTTCTTTGTATTTTATTCTTTGTATTTTTTATTTGTTATGTCTAACAATTTTTATAAAATTGAATTTTCATACTGTCACATGTTCACATGTACATTTTTAATTGTCTTATTTACCTGAGAATCTATCTAATAGCAATAACCTGTTTTTGTGTTAACAGTGCATGTGTAGTTAAGGCTGCTTCAAATTGTGACTTGCTTGACATATGACATATCTGCGTAAAAAAATTGATACATGTACTAGAGCTTAAGGTTTCAAGTCAATAAAAGTCATGGAGTTTCTGGTTCCACATACTTGTAAACGTTCATTGACAAACAAAACAAACACCCTTAAGTGAAAGACGTGTTAGATTGTTAAAACGTATTAAAGGTCAGCTGCTTATTTCTACATTTCTGAAAAAAGTTGGTGTGTAAAAAAAGTTGATTCACTTGAACAGTGGTATAATACAGTGACTTTGAGTCAGTGTATGTTTAAATAATGATGTGATCACACAGCTTTATATTTCATTTTCACCTGATGTAACTAGAAATCAAGTGTCAGCTTTGTCTGTCGTGGAATCATGTGTAAAGGGTTTACGTTTCTTGGATGTCGGCAAGTGGCCTATTCCTCAATGACAGTAAATCAGAATTCTTGGTCATTGGTACTTGTTAGCAAGTAGCTAAAGTTAGATCGATGGGGTTCAGGCTGGAGAATCTCTAGTTAGACCTGCTACTTTTGCACGGAATTTTGGGGGCGTGGTTTGATGTTCACAGGTCCATGAGTGATCATGTGGTTAAAACGTGCAAGTCTGCATTCTACTTCCTCCACAACATTAGATCAATTAGGAAGTATTTAACGTGCCAATACTGAAATATTCATTCATGCTTTTATTACGTCTAAGCTCGATTATTGTAACAGCTTAAGTCGTCTTCAACGTGTTCAAAATGCGTGGGCTAGGCTTGTGTGTAATATGTATAAGTATTGTCCTATCACACCTGTTCTTGTTGATCTTCACTGGCTCCCAGTTAAGTCTAGAATTGTTTTCAAAATCTTACTTCTGGTCTTTAAACACTTTGGTGACTGTCCTGCATACTTGTCACAACTCATCACTGTTCCAACCGAGTCTCGCTACTGTCTTCGTAGCTCTGACCAGAGTAACGGTATTCTTCTTCGATATCCATCCATTCGTAGTAGGACCAGCCTAGGTGATCAGTCCTTGTTATTGGTTGTACAGCGCATTTTAATATTTTTGAATAGAATTTGCACTTAATGAATTCATTTAATAATTATAATAATAATCAGTCCATTGATTTATGCTGTCTTAGTCACACTGAAGGTGTTTATATACTTCAGCTGTAGCTTGTTCTGGGATGAAAATAAAACTGTACAGGTGATCCATTGCATGTTTGATTTGCTTATTGGGGGGGGTTGTGAAATGCATCAAAGTATAGTGGTTTCTTTCTTAAACATTTTGGCTAGGATTCTGTGACCGTTACTGCCCAAATAGAGATGATAAATGCAACATGGTCGTACTTAATATTTCCATCCTATGAAATGTGGACTTTGAAATTCCAGACTGTAAAAAAATGTCCATTTGGTTTATCACCAATATTCAGCACTTTCTTAGTTGCTCTGAGATTTAAAGCCTTTGTTTTCGCAGAGCCTCATCACACACAAAGCTAACAATGGGTCATTCTGTCAATCTGGGGTCAACTTTTGTTCCTGTCCCTGTTTAATCTGGTGGATGATGGTGTAAGTTTGGAAAACAATCTTTAATTTCTAAGAGTGATTAAGTGATGCAAGTTACCTGAAACCCAAAGGAAATTGGTTTGAAGTCGATTTGAGTCCCTTGTCAAATTGCACAGGTCAGATGTAACAGGGATAAATTAATACCACACATCAGAGCATGGATTTATAGTGCCCCAGGTGTAAAAGCTTATGAGCAATGTTGGCACAAATCTGACTCTCCAATGTCAGTCCATTATTTTGCATGGACAGTTACCGCAATCCATTTTTATGGTAAGAACAGTGAGGTATAATCGACGGTTACTAAGTAACTTGCCAACGGCCAATAGGCTTTATTCATAAGGCAACCATTTCAGATCGTGCTTGCGAATCTCCTTTATTCACTCTGAAATAGGATTGCATTTTGAGATATTTCCCCAAGTAGCTAGCTTACCGGCTCAATTGTGCCAGAGCAAAAAGTCAGGTGACTGTCAAATGATACACACTTACAGCATCTGAATGTTAATTGAACACGCTGAACCACACATACGGCCTCACTTTGCAAAACCTTTTTCATTTGGAAAATGAAGGTGGCATGATTTTTGTCCATAATTTCAAATTATAATCTAAATTAGGGTACACTCCATCATCTTTGTTCTCGCATATATATGAAGATTTCAGAAAATTTCCTTGCTTTAACCCCTTCGCTATGGGAAGTGGTGAGAGACGCTGTGAAAATTGAGGTCCTCAGCCCACTTTTCAGCTATTATTCTCAGCCCACGCTCGAGTGAACATGGTGAAAGAAGGCATACCCTGGCTCTTGTATATACGGTGATTGGCCTTTGTGTTGCCAAGAAATGAAAAGGCCGAATTTGCATCATAATCACCAGCTTCACATTAGTCCCCACTTTGAAAAGAGGCAACGGAAATGTGGAAGCGTGAGTAGAGCCGCATGCCACCTAACAATGAGCCTTTTCACTGTGTAAATCAAAGCGTGCAGAGCACGTAGGGCCACCAAACCAAGAATTTGCGGTTTGGCAGGTGGCCTTTGTGGCCAAGCCAGGCTGGAATTCTCGGAATCGGCTTTCAGAACAAATTCCCGGCGTCAAGGGGTTGAAGGCAAGATTGCCGACTCATGAATATGTCCCGTTAATTAAGACGTGGGCTGTGTAACATTGTTTACACCTGTCACATAGGTTTTGCTACATTAGATATCTCAAATTCTTAATAACAAGAACACATGAAAAGAAATACCAACAATGTGCCATGAAATTTTCCATGATAGATAACTTAAATGAACTTAAGTAAATACAACCAAAATACAAAACCAAAACTGTCAAAAACAATGTCACAATTAATATGATGAACATCAACAAGTCCTGAACAAAGGTTAATGAGGTTAGTCTTGTCAAGTGCAGACGGTTTGGATTTCAAGTGTGTCAGTAATGTCATCATGATACCAAATGGGATAACAAAATTCTTGAGGGGCAAAATCCAAACCAAACACAAAGGTGACAACAAATTGTCACCTGATCACACAAAATGAGTCTTGAGGCCACTTTTTCAGCATTTGTTAGTTTTCTTTCGGACAAGCAAACTGTGTGCTTTGCGTTAATGCATAACACAGACTGGCATCACAAATTGGACATTGTGAAGGGTGGAATACGCGCATGTGGCTCTGGTGACTTAAGACTCATTTTGTTAGATTGGGTCACAGTTAGCAAGAAGAGTTGATTTGCATGGTCATGACCTTCGACCTCACGATGAGCTAGTGGAAGCGCCTGCGAGAGTGAGGAGGTTGCACTTGGAGAACTGAACATGGTGAATGCAGGTGGACTTGATGGAGAAGGAACCTAAGAGCTCAGACGAAGAACCGCTCTCAGACCTGCATCGGTAACAAGGCAGGGTTAAGAAAGCAAGAGCGACAAAAAATTGAATAGTATCTTGTGTACCACCTGATAAACTTGTAGATCCCCTGAGCATGGGTATCTTGAAGAATGTTTATTACAGAACTGCAATAAATGTACATCTTAGGATTGAGTGTGAAATCATTGCCAAACAGGCCCACAACCAAAGATCGTACAGCGCCGCGAAGTGGCACAAGATGGCGAACTTCATCGTGAATACACGTAAAACGTTGTAATCGCATGGGCGCCATTTGAGCAAGTGATACGCCTGCGCAATGCACATTAATGCACAGACGCAGGCGCCGTGGCAGGCACGTGCACCTGGTGAGCCTGCGCCTAAGCATTACCATAAACTGCGCAGGCGTATTGCTTGCTCAGATGGCGCCCATGGTAACTACACCTTTTGGGCAGAGTAATCCATCTTCTGCCTTCGGCGCTATATGATCTTTGCCAACAACGATGTGCAACTCGTAAAAATATCCAACAGCTGTTTGATTTCGATACATTCACTGCATTTACACACATAGCTTTATCATGCTTGTCCAGTTGCCTTAGCAAGGTCACTGAAAAAAGCCACTGGCATCTACATGTTAGCAATGTCTAGTTCCCAGACAAACAGATACTAAATGTGCCTATAACATGTTCAACCTCTGGGAGTGAATCAAAGTGGTAAACAAAACATTGCAGTGTGAAACAAGGTGCTAACTTTCTAGTGGAAGCAGATGCAATGCGTAAAATAGTTGAGTGTAACAATACACCAATCAATCAATGATTTGAGAGTGTCAAAAAACAAATATTTCTGCAATACTTGGCCCCGAATAAACTTCACACAGACTATTCTAGAATCATAAATCCAAATTGTGAAAAACAAAAACAAACCCAAAATCCCACAACTAGACTACAGTGGTACACTAGAACGTCAGACATTAGGTTGTCTCAAATATTTTCAGAAAGAGGGTTCATCTCCATGAGTCGTCAGAATAAAAGAGCCACCCTCCACAATTTAGTAACAAAAGTGTCCCCTTGTTTGGGTGGAAAGGGTTAAAAACAATCACTTACTGAGATGATGAGTAGTTCTGTCTCACATCCCAAAATCTTAGACTGTTGTCAATTCCACCTGGAGCAAAATGAAGAAAGTTGGGAAATTAAAATTGGTAACAAAGAAGAATAACATTTCATTAAACCCAGTGCTTTTTTCTCTATTTGGTCAATCACATTGGAACCGCTTGTGTTGCATGCCTGCTGCACGCAGCACACGCACTGCACACACCACCGTGATCGTGAAAAACCCATTTTCAGGCAAGACTGACTGCTACCACAGGCCCGTTCATGGACAGTCCATTCGCTGACTCTTTCCGATAACCACCTGAACACAAACAGTTCCTTCCTCCATACCATAGTAGAGTAACTGAAGTTTAAAATTACCTACACATTTCATGTATGTGGTTAGTAACTCCATGTCTCAGGGAATTCTGTTAATAACTCGAAATCTGGACAACTCAATTTATTTTATTCTCCGAAGTTCAACTTATCAAATGTAAATGGCAACCAACGAAAACATGACTGCGCCACCAGCAAGTGGTACACATGGCCTGGCCCTGGCTTTTGTGACTGATTTCATCCTTCAAAGTTTGTCATATAAGCCACCCGGCAAATAAGCCGCAGAGACATTTTCAGCATGAGAATCGATGTACATGTATAAGCTGTGGCTTATATTCCAAAAAAATTACCATGTCCTTGGTTACTTGCCGGTTGTGGCTTTTCAACTATCCTTTATAAGTGGAACCACCCACTGGAGTCACAAATCATAGTTTTAACATTGATGGATTAACCAAGCAACTTCTGCCACCTGGTTAATTAACGTGGTCAATTACAAACAGTGGTTTCAGAGTAACTTATTGCTTCCTTGCAATTATGTTCATATGGCTCCAACGGACACATCCTATTGTAGCCAGCTGTCTATTTCAGACATCTGTTCATTACTACTTTGTGGCCACGGTTTAATTTTGACAATGCCACATGTTCATTGCGACCATCGATTCCCTAAAGATATCTAATGTCACCACCTCATTAAATTGATTGACTAAATACTTCTGGTCATTTGAGATTACCTGATGCAAGCGCTGAGCTGTCAGGACTGAAGCTGAGACTGTAGACACAGTCAGTGTGGCCCCGTAATTCCTTGACCAGACTTCCTGAGCCGATATCCCAGAGTTTTACTCGCCTATCCTCACCTGCAAGAATGTGAGAGTGAGAATCAGTTGAGAAACCCTTGCAGGTCTGGCATCTGCATTAAACAAAGATGAAACGGCATTCGCATAGATAAATAAACCTACCTGCAGAAGCTACGTAGCGCCCGTCGGGTGAAACTGCCAAAGCTAGAACTGTGCCCTTGGAAAGCAAATGACAAAACCAAATTACTTTCACAGGACACCGAAAACATGAAAACAGTATGAAACTAAATCTGAATGGCTCGTCTTAACTCACTGATATCAGTATTATTTGTGACACCAGACTAAAGTGTTTCAACTCAAAAAAAGGTGGAAAATCCACACTTTAGATGTTAATCTACATTTAATTTTTAATCCAATTGCACTTTCATTTTAACCTTGCTAAACCTGACACAGCTAGATGACAAAGGTATTGGTTTACTGTTCTGTTTAACTAAATCCAAGAAGACCACGTTCATGGTTGATTAAAACCAATGGTGGGCCTTGTACAGGAAGTGTAGAGGGCATTCAAGGACTCCATGAAACATCCCGACCGTGTTAACACGGGCTTTGGAGAGACATTTCCATGCCATTGTTGCAGAGGTCTTGGGCCTCAATTCATGAAACTGGTAAGCAGAAAACAATGCTCGGCAGGCTTTTGTGCCTGACAAATGGACAGCAATAGTAGAACTGTGGGGGATCATGTCAAACATAAAGATTAATCCTGTTTATTTCTTGTACCGTTCAAACTCAGTATTACATGTACATGTATGATTGAAAGTAGACAGTGAAATTCGGATTCTGTGCACATATCCCTCAAATGTGCCTCTTGGATATCGGATATTATTTTGAATTCCACCAACCCCCCCCCAACTTGCGAAGTCTGGTGCCACCACTGGTAGAGAGCTGGTCTAAAGCAAAGGCATATTGAAAAAATGTTACTTAAGCTTATTACCTGCTTTTGTTTAAAGCACATAGTTTCTGTGCTGAGCAGATTCTGTGCTTGGCAGGTCAGGGAAAATGGCACCCACAACCCAGGTGAAAAACCCTGAGATTGTGCACATTCAGATGAAATTAGTGCTGCCTTCCATGCACTGTTCCCCTGATATGGAGCTCCCTTGGGTAATCAGCATGAGCCACCTACTGTTCCTAAATCAGACCATGTTGCCGCAACAAGAGCAAGTAAGGCCACTTAAACAGAGTGAAATGTCTCATGTACACACTTCATTCTCTTAGATTTGGACAGTTTCAATACAAGCACAGGCTGAGTTCAGTCTGAACATTGAGGTTTAGTGAGACCTCTGTATAATCTTCCTAACTCCAGAAAGTGGAGACAGGTACAAGTCATGAAGTGCTGGCCCCTTCCCTTGCTACTTTGCCCACTAAAATTTAATGAAAGAATCTACTGACTGAAATCTCACAATCTGGAACCATCAGATACCTCCATAGCCAAGCAATGTTTTGTATTTTCATAACAAGGTAAGGGTTTCTTTTCCGAGGATGAAAGATTCATACTCACTCTATGTCCATTGAAGAGTCGGACTGTCTTGCCGTCATGAATGTTCCATAGTCGGATGGTTTTATCACTGGACCCTGTGGCCAGGTATTTGCAGTTTGGGTGGAACTTAACACACTGCAGATGACACAGGTGAAAACTTAAATTTAGCAATTCTAAACCCTAATAAGACAAGAGCACTGCAAAACCCTATTTGCAGTGTTAAACTAAATGTAACACAGTAGAAAAAATCTCAAAACAAAGGGCCCAATTTCATGGCTCTGCTTAACAGCCCTTTTTGTACTCAGGGCCTCCATGCATTCACAGAGACTGTTTAGCAGTTCAGTAGTACTGGCAGAAAAAGTCACATAACTCAGTGATGCATCAATAAAAATCTCTAGGTGAGCACAGCTGTTAGCACATCCCTTCCATGCTATCCACCTTGGGCAGAAGCAACCCATTATCGGTTGAAAAGAGTCATGTTGATTGGGAGTTAGACTTGTCCCTGTCCATATATAGGGACTGGAAACTAGCTGGCTTCTTGGCCTGTCTTTGGTTTAGCTCTGTACATTCGCAATTGCTTTTTCTACAGAGACGATGCTGACATACAACCGTTTGTGTGCATGACAGTCGAACATGGCATCGCCTCTGACAGATTCTTAAGACCTTGTTAAGACACAATGCCTGCTTTGGTTTCAAACAACAATACTCAGTGTTTCACCTACGTAGACTACGTACAGAACGGGAACCAGTCAAATAGGGAGTGTTCATTTTGATGGTAGCAATGCAACCATGCCATGTGCATTTCATAGTCACTTGTGAACCAGCAAAGTACAATTCCAACCAAAGAAGCCTCCATTGTGAGAAAAATTGCTCCCTCTCTTGGTCCAGCTGAGGCTCATAGGGTTACAGCACTATGGAGTGAGCATACATGTAGCTTTCAAACTGTTCAGTAGTGCTATAAAATTGGGCCTGTTGTGAACCATGCACAAATACTGTTCAATAAGGTGGTGCAGTAACAGATATTACCAGATTCACGGTGAAATTAGTGGTTCTTATCTGCAGTAATCTATTGCATGTACTGAATACATTATAAGGAGCCAAAGACAATGTTAATTTCTGAAATGGACATACAGGATGAGGCCAATTGTCATCAGCAGGTATTCTGTGGCTAGGGCTTCAGTTTTTACATCTACTATTCTTCCAAGAATAGCCATAGTTCAACATTTGAATGACTTTTATGACAAAATTATACTTTTGCTTTGTTTGATCAATCTCAGAATGAGATTGCCATACTATCAAGAAAGGACCTCAGTTATTGGTCAGATATAACTGCCTTGTGAATGGTCACAACAAAAACCGTGACAATTCTTCCCCATTATTGGCGTATCCCTCTGAGCGTACAGTAACTTTTGCTAAGATAGGTGCGGAGTGTCACAACGAAAAGTACTCACATCAACATCCATCAGGTGGCCCACAAACACCCTCAGGGGGAAGGTCCTCTCCACGGTCCACAGTCTCGCCGTGTTGTCCTTGGAAGCCGTGGCAAAATACAGCCCCATGGGGCTGCTCTCAATGCCCCACACAGGGTAGTTGTGGCCCCGGTAGATGGCCATGTTGGTGTACGTATCCAAGCTCCATGCCCGGATGGTAGTGTCCTCAGAGCAGGATAGCAGGACTCTGTTGTCAGAGAGGAGGCAGGTGCCATACACCGGTCCTGAGTGAGCTCTCAAAACTTTGTTTTCACTGCTAACACTGAAAAAAAACATTTACGTTCTTGTTGTGAGATTGACTTTGAAAAGCAGACAGTTTCAAGGGTCTGTACAATGCCATATTTACCCATTGCCTCTTGAAAATGCACCTTTGTGTTTCAGTTAACTTTTGCTCCATTTTCTTTTTGAAAAGGTGTTTGGCCGCCTTTTTAGTTTTTATACTAATGTAAATTTCCAAGATCATGAGCGAAACTGTTATGCAATTCCATGGACATATCTCAAAAGTTGCTTTGGTTTGTGCACAAAAACTACTTTTTTTGGACATTTTGCTGCCTAAATGACATGATTAGCATCAAACATGGAAATTCAGAAAACACATCTCTCCATAACCAATTCCTCAACCTGATGAGTTTTAGTGATGTGATGAGACTCTTGGCCTGAAAATTGGTTGCATACACTGTACGATGTAAGTTTATGGTTCACAAACCTGTTCCTCTACAGTAAGCACAGTTTCAATTTATATGAATATTCATTACATGAATTTTATACTGAAACATAATTTATGCAAAAACTTATTCCTCCAAACTACTCAGCAACAATGATACTTTTTACATTTTCTGCACTTACAGCATTTAAGCATGACAAATATGCCAAGCCGTCTTTGACAACTGATGACTACACATCTACATGTATAAGCTGGGACATGATTTTTGGCACACACTTAAAAGTTTGCAGCTACGTTTTCTGAAATAATGTAAAACCAATGTGTGGCTTGCTGTCTGCTTGTCATATGCCGAATAAACAAACACGAGACAGGGAAACAAAGTTCTTACGGAAAAACCACCAAGGTTATGACCACTTCTGATGCTGGAGAAGCCGTAACTATGACTAAAGTCTCTGCCAGAAATTTGCACTGACCTACACGTAAACTGTTCTACTACCATAAACTTTGGTTTTAAAGTGGCAATACAGAGATTGAAAACAGAGCTACCAGTAAATGGGGCATGGGAGGCAAAATGAATTTGGCCGAATGATTCCTTTATATGGTAAAACAATGACGACAATTGGTTCCTTTTTATATAATCCTAAGACCCCCCCAACTTCCAACCAGAGTTATGGATAAGCCATCCACACCTCCTCCCACCCCCCCCAAAAAAAAACTTAATCTGTGATAGGCCCCCCCCAAAAAAAAGGCCAATGGTCTTCTTCTATAAGGAACTTGTTCAGGGTGGGATATTATTTTTAGCTGAAAATGCCCGCTTTTTAAAACACGATCCAATGACCACAGTCCTTAAAAACAAAGCTGGATTTAAGTTGTCCTGTGGTGGCCATTTGCTCAAAATTTGTGCAATATATTTCACCGCTGATCGCTTTTTTGCAATTCCTCGACAGTTTTGCAGAGCAGGATTTGCTACAGCACCAACCTGTGGCCAACAGCCACTAGAGGCAACACAAAAATTCAACTTCCACGGACTATCTTGAGTCTATGCATAGGTTCAAACTCTATGACAGTAACTCATAGCATGACAGTGGGTACATATTCCATTCAGCACTGTGTACAGCATGGGTCAGATCATTTCAAACATCCTCTGCGTTACGACACAAGAAATCCCTGCCTGTCACCTGGCACAAAGTGATTAATAACATAAAAGGGAAAGGGGGGGGGAATTATACATATACCTGTCTCCATACATCTGCCCTTCGACGCAATCACCAGCGACACGAATGCGACTAACATCCACGCTGTGAGGGGCCGCTTGCAGCTTCTTGGAATTCAGACTCCAGAGATGGATGGAAGAATCCTCAAAGCCGCCACAGAGCAGGGAATGATCAGAAGAGACACTGGCACAGCTGAGTCTGGAGGGGGCAAATGAGGGATACAAAAAAGCATTGAAATTAACCCCTTAGCGCCGGGAGGCGGCTAGACACGCGGTGAAAATTGAGATCCTCAGCCCGCTTTTCAGCTATTATTCTCGGCCCACGTTCGAGCGAACACGGTGGAAAAAGGCAGACCCTGGCTCTTGTATATATGGTAATTGGCCTTTGTGTGTAGCCCAGAAATGAAAAGACTGAATTTGCATCATAATCACCAGCTACACAATAGTCTCCACTTTGAAAAGAGGCAATGGGAAAGTGGAAGCGTGAGTAGAGCCACATGCCACCGAACAATCAGCCTTTTCACTGTGTCATTCAAAGCGTACAGAACACGCAGGGCCACAAACCGAGAATTTGCAGTTTGGCAGGTGGCCTTCATGGCCAAGCGAGGCTGCAATTCTTGGAGTCGGCTTTTGGGAAGAAATTCCCGTCGTCAAGGGGTTAAGCAAAGCCTGCCAATAAAATAACCAACAGCATATCCTCGCCTATGCAATTAGCAAGAATTCTGAATTAGATTTTGCAATACCACAGGGCAATGCTAGGCAGAAATGGGAAATTTGTCATCCCAACACTGACCTTCTTATTATCTAAACTATGGAAACAAAAAGAAGTCTTTCACAACCTGACAGTGGATATAAAAGTTACCTGTTCAATCTATTGTTTACGCTTTCATATTCTGATAAACTATTTTATGTAAATTCCAGACTACAATGACCTAAGTAACAGAACAACATGTTACCACTTTTGCATGGAATTAACCTTCACTATTTCAAAGTATAAGGGCCAGAAACTTAACTTGGGTTGCAGAAGCCTAATGCTTTTGTTTGACCTTTTACTTTATTTATCACCATGTCATTATATAACTTAAAATAAAGACAATACAAGCTCGTCCCTGTGCCCTATTCACCTGCTCATAACGACAAGATGACCCATGGAAATTTCAGCCTGCGATCTTTACCCAAAACAGCATTCCTGACAACATAACAGTTTTTTTATCCCCATAAGTCTAACCTTATCCCTCCTATGCTGAAGTCACTCTTTGGGTCATTTGGTGAACACCTCAATGAAGCACAGCTGTGTTGTGTTGTGCACTGCACCAACATTCCCTCACAGGAATATCAGATTGCACTTTTGTGCTGCTCAACAACTGTGCTTCACTGTTTCATGTGCATAACTGTGCAGTAAACCAAACGCAGTGAAGAGGACTGCACAAAAGACCCTGTGTCAGTTTGTGCTGACAGCCTACTGTGTACACACTGAACCTGTGCATGTTTGAGTTCCATATAGAAACTACATGCTCACCAGTGACTGTGGGCATTTGTGCTGTAAAACCAAAGGAGGGTTAACATGGTTAAAGCGCATTGTACCCTTACCCTTGGTATGTATTGGTGAATGTGTACATCAGCACTGACGGCAGCGTTGGGGGACCCTTGCTGACTTTCTCCATGTTGGCTTTCAAGGCTGTCAGATTCGCTGCCTCATCTCCATCGGAGGATGCTGGCTGACTGCTGGCTGGAGTAACAGGTGCACTGGCAGGTGTGGATCCATTATCAGTGTGCACACTGTGTGAGGCATTTGTCAGTCCCCGCACTGGAGGGAAAAACGATTGACAAACCAAAGTACGTGTACTTTGGCATTCAATCCTGTACACTCCCACAATGGGTTTTGGAGGATTTTGTGGGATCAAGCAAGGGTTCACAAAGCAATTTTTGCTTCATGTGGGGGGTTTAGAGTACAAGTAATATACCCTGAGCTTCCCACGGTCAATTTTGGAGGATGGAGGGAGGTACCCCACCAAACATGCCTTGGTGTTAGGCATGCTTAACCCTACGTAGGAAAGATTTCAAGGAAAAAACCCCTGCTTAACTAAGTGCTTCAACGTGAATGTGGCTTATTCAAAGTACCTTCACCAGGTTCAAACCTTGCGTGTTGATCCAGTATGTCACAAAACTGCTCCAACAGCTTACCCAAGCTCAGAGAGACAGCGGGCAGGTCCACTAACTCTAGAGACAAGCTTACCGTCAATTTGGATGTGGAGGTTGAAGACTTTGAGCAGCATGGAGTTATCCTGACTCTGCAGATACCGAAGGAGGAACTGCACCGCCTCCTGGCGCATGGGAACCACATACTTGCTGTCTCTGTGAGATGAAAAACATCAACACCTCATGCTTAAAATCTGTACCTCAAAGTCCCCTTGAGACGTTCAATACATATTTCATCTACAGCCTATTATTTTGCTGGCCACTTTCAATGTTTTCTGTTTCCAATCATATTTGCATGACGTCTTAAAACTGTTTTAGAATTAACATTAGAAAACCCTCCTGTGCAAACAGCCATTCTAAACGAGTTCCTCAGTCAAGTCCTCTCAGTCAAAATCGATCAAATGACTCTTTTAAGTAGAACTGACTACATGTAGCTATGACTGTTAATATAACTTGATACAGCCGTGCTCTGACAAGCTATGTTGGTCTACAGGTCACCTGCTGTTGTCTATTAACTAAATTTGACTGGTTTTGTAAGAAAGGCAGGAGAAAGCGAATGGAATTATTCAAGTGTCTGTGAAAGTCTGTGAAAGTCTCACAGGGTATAAGTTAAAAAAATGTTTTGTGACTCAAGTAAACAACTCCATGACATTTTTAAAATCACTGGAAGCCACTGATGTTTAGCTCTACAGGGCAGAGTGGAAGAAACAACAGGTGAAATTAGCCAAGGAGCGGTTAACTATACTTTCTGCATGAGCTTGCTGTATGCCCGCCGGCGTACATGTACATGTACCTGAATGCTGTGAGATGATCATTCATGAGAAGGTCCATGCTGTTCACAACGCCGGTCAAGCTCTGTACCAACTCTCGCTGATTACTGACATCCAAGAAGGACTCATGGTGTTTGCTGTACAAGCTGTGTGCTGTCAGAACCAGATGCCATGTGACAAAGTCATAGTCTACTTGTGGGATGAGTAATGGTGCAGCTTAGCCAGACATATCGGATAGAATGGATTTACGCACACGAACGGTGAGCAGATGATTTTATGAGCTCAATTTCTGTCACAGTGACACCTATCATCACCAAATTATCATGTGTGATGCAAAAAACTTCATATCCTCAGTTCCCAATGCAGTGAAATGCATTTGTGTAATGTACAGAATCCTACCAGGGTTTGTTGACTCTGGAGCAATGCGAAATATTTTTAAAATGATAACTCCTCTTTGGACAAAAAAGTTGAATACGAAATTGTGCCGAGACAATAGTTGGACACAAAACCCAGTCATCTTTTTAAAAAAAAAAATGTTGCACAAACAATTTGTACCACTGCTGGCTGCAGCTTTTCTACAAATCTGACTCAGTTATTGGAATCAGATTTGTGGAACACGCTGTAGTCGGCCAATATTAACAATCATGCAGCACTTCTTGAATTTGGCTGCTGTGAATACGACGCCGGCATTATGTAAGGGGAGAGGCTTAACAGAAGACATTCTCACCTGCTGACTTGTGCCCATTGGTTATCATGTCTAGAAACAGGTGAACAAAGAGAGGGTACAGAAGAACCTGGAGGTCATCCTGTAAGAATCGACGGGAAAAGGAATCAAGTTTGTATTCAACATTTGGCCATGCTATGCAGCGAACTTTGTAAATTCTCACTGTCAACATCAATACATGTATGTATTCCCAGATTTCACTGCATCCACTTACATACAAATGAAACATAGTTACGCACTGCAAATTTGATCATGCATACACGTACACGCATGGCAAATTATCAGCTGTCTATTGCTATTTCATTCACAATGCCATGCTACCAACAACAACTTCCATGAGCCTCTTCGAGATGAAGCCACTTTGACAGACATTTGAAGCATTATTAGGTACAATTAAAAGACAGCAGACAGCGGCGCTGATTTAATTGGGATGGAATTATATCTGATTTGGATCAAGGGCAATCAATTACTTGATCTTAATCATATTGGTGGGTAGGGTCTGTAGATGGACCTAACTCAACATTCATCTATCGACTGGAACTTTCATACTCTGAAATCAACATGTTGAGACTACATGTAGTTACTAATGAAGGACTTATTTTCCCAGTTGCTTTGACAATGATGGGAGTTTGCGCTGACTGATTCACTCAAATTTGCAGCTGCACTGTATTCAGCAGATTAGTACATTTCAAGACCATTTTGCTTGAAAGATAATGAAAAGAACACATTTTTATGCATCTTGCTGGGCATGAACAGTTTACATTTTATTTGACTTTAGCATCAACTGAAGAAAGTGTTGATGCAAGAAAAGTACCACAGAAACTGAAACTTGGGGAACTTGTGCTACTGAAATCCTCATCAGGCATTGGCTTCAGCAATAGCTTACATGTATGTTTGTTTCAAAGGAAGTTACATTTCTACAGTATTGCTTTCACAAAGCTTCACTCATCCACTTCACCAATACTCAAGAATAAACCCAGACTCTCTAATTGCTGATCCTGTTCTCTGGTGTAGCATTTCAGCCAAATCATCGCATAAATTACCTTGAAAGGCTCTCGTGTCTGCTCAATGAATGTCTTGAGCCTTGAATACTGCTGCTCATAGCTCTCCGGATCAGAGTCACTGCAGAGAATGAACAGACAATGTGTAGAGGGGGCTTGCAGTAGCACCATGTTGGATGACGTATGGTTCTGATAGGAACTGTTGAGTTTCGACCAATGTGCTCTGGTTGTCCTAAAACGTTGAGTTCACACTCACACTCAACGGTTCTTATCAGAACCATACATGTACCTCTTTCAAACGAGATCTTTCCACAAGCCCCCTCTTTAGTCTACGTGTATCTCCACCATGCAAAGCTTCAAGTCTTATCCAGAAAATGTGTAATAAAGACAGTCCAAATGTTTGAGAGTTTTTTGCAAGTTCTAAAACTTTGGTGAGTGCTAAATTTGTGGACCTGCAAGTCCAACAGCTCTCCAGCATAAGTTCGTGAAGTACGCCAAAAGATACACTACATGTACCATTAGGTGTCTACACATATTTCTGCACACAACTCTCTACACTATCACAATCAGATCAGCCTACTGAGAACTGAATCTGCTTGCCCGGAAGAAGGTACTCAGTTACCGAAAGCTCGGCAATCACATATTTCAGAGCACTGATTTGATATTTTATTCTCGTCGATATTCTAATCACGGTGCTACGCAGCCCTTCCATATTTTACTGAATGATCCATCTTTTCCCAGAAAGATGGGCATTTACCAGTCCAACTTGATGCTTTAAATCCGATATGTATCGATTTCACTCAATGGTTGAAGGATTAAGACCACTGTTAATGGATCTAACAGTTGGTAATAAAGTCAATAGTCGGCATGCTGGAACTGTTTTTGTGCAGGGAAATTTAGAAAGATATGTTGGCCATACCATAAAGGGTGAGTCAGGTTAGCCTGATTTGATTTGGTTTGATCCTGTGATTCTGAATTTCAATAGTAAGAAGGGTGATATCATCTGGGTATCCTTCTCCTACGTGTAACTGACAGTATGCCTTATATAATCCAAACCACGGTGAACTTGCCGTGATCTGACCATGTGATTACTGACTTGTGGTGGCACTCACCACGTGGTGCAGGAGACCACATTCAGGACGCCTGTCTCCCGTCTGACTGCTGCCTCTGTCGCCATCAGGGAGACTGACTCCGTCAGACGGAGGTGCTTCTTGCTGTATGTGTCGCTGTTAGCATCCTGTTAGAACAGACCGGAAGGTACATGTACATGTAACATTGTTCAGAACACCTTGGGCGACTTCTGAGCAGAATTCTTGAAGAATTTGCAGCGGCGTCACATCTACCTTCTTTGACCTGATAGAAATGTATAATCATGACTACAATACTGCTAACAAGGGGCTCAAATTAGGAGATTTTGATCGCAACCCTCCCAGATCCTACCAAGTCCATGAGACATTTGGGAGGATTTCACACAGTTTTACTCTTCATGAGGCTTGGTGTCCCTTGAAAGTTAAAGTATGAAGAACATGATGTTGGTTTGCAGCACAATCTGGCTCTGGGGTGAGTTCAGGAAGTTCCACAGACACAAGTTTCCCAGACAAGGGTTCCCTACTTTGTAGATTTGAGGGCTTGAACAATGATTTTAAAAACAGCCCAAAGCACTCAGAGGCCAAACAAAAAATACTTCCATGTATGTTTCACATTACAAGGAAAAAAGGATCTACAGGTAACCGCTTATATCATCTTTTATTCTTGTCAGTTTATACTTTGTCATGAGTGGTCATCGTACACTTTTTATGCAGCCGCTGCTGTACCAATAGCATATAATCATGAAAGTCACCAGACTAAATGAGTGAGTGCATGGTCTCATGGTTGCGACATGCAGCTCCCAATGTTGTTAATTACAAGAGTGCAGAATCAGCACTTTCTCCTACCCCTTTTATTGTTTAATATCAAATCCAACAGTAAATTTTGGGATAATTCATTTTCTTTTCACTCATTCTGAATGCCAGCAATGACTCCAGTGAAAACAGAAAGTACACAGTGTATATTTAGCCAGCGCAGGCAAATTTTTATGTTGCTGGAATTGGTACACAGTGTCCTTTTTGACACGTATACATGTACATGAGTGAGACTGCATGTGTAAAGCTTATTAAATTCTGATAACATGTTGCGTACATCCGCGGTGCAGTGGATGGCACGTTTTTCATCAGGCCACACAATGTGGGATCGAGTCCCAGCATTTTGGCTTTTTTTTGTACGATAAATTAAAAATCTTTTCTTTTAATTTCAAATTGACTTCAACACATATTTACAGGTTTTTACATTTTTTTCTGATTCGTGGCACTGGAGGTGTTTTTTTTTCGAGGGAAAAACGTCTAAAATTATAAAATGGTCTTATTCCCTATTTTGTGAATCCCAAGTTGCGACAATTATGGTGCCGTAGAACCAGACTAAGATTTATCAGGGTAAGAATTTCTATGTCCAAAAAGCCCCCCAGCTACTGCACATGCACCCGGGCAAAATATAGTTTAGTATAAATTTGCCACTCTCTAAATATACACGGACACTGCCTATAAAGTACATTCTGAATTTTGACAACTGGAAACTGACGTGAATGATAAAAAAATTTCAGAAGTATTTCAGTGCATTTGTTCATAGAATTAGCCTCGTCTTCATGCATCTAGGTACTTTCTGTTTTTCAGTCCTAATTGTAGGAAGTAAGTATGTCAAATTTATTGGCAACTAGGCTGAGGTTGAAATCAATATAATACAATACCTAAAAAGTTTGACAAGTCAAAACAAATTTCAAAAAGCAAAACCAATGGGAATTGTTAGTGAAATTAGGGTACCATGTGAAATATTGTGTGGGTTAAGTGGCATGGGCAATGCTGAAGTGACTTTTAAACCTGAGTTCAGGCTGACATGGCTATGCATCAAAGCAGGAAACAATCACGACAATTATTTCTGTTCAGCACAATCTTTGAAAGTGCGCAAATTTAAATTTGTGCAACTTGCACAATTTTCCATGAGCAATTTTTAGGTTGCGAATAATTTAGATCTACGTAGATAACGTTGAGTGCAATCTTTGAATGCGCACAATTTTTGTCCCTCAAACTGCACGATTTTTATAAGGGAGTCATGACAGTTAGCATTTGATCGGGCCAGGCCCCACCATACAAGTACATGCAGCACACATGTCACGTGTGAAACAGGCTCGAAAAATCATGCAAAATGTGTAGTTGACATATGTCATATGGCTGTTGCCTGTGATTCATCTATCAACATAATTTTTAATGCTGTGCACATTTTTTATGGCAATAGACCTATCTATCATGTCTGTGGTTGTGGAAAGTTTAAAATTTGCGCACTTTCAAAGATTGCGCTAAAGATTTCCAATACTTCAATTACTTGTCCAGTTGTATGTCCACACGTGTGTAACAGCGCCCTCAGAAATTCAAACCAAATCCACCAGGGGCACCGTACCACCATGTGATTCTACCTCCATGCTCCATGCATTAACACTCACGAAGGCTGAGACCCAGTCAATCATGGATCAATCATTCAATAAATGGTGCAAATGACTTACAATAAACTGCCGACGCTTGAGGTAACTTAAAACAGCCGAGTGGACCTGCTCACTATTAATTCGCTTCAAATTGGACATGTTGGATTAAACGATTACAAAAGTGCACAGGAACCAATCTTCAAGTTCAAAACTACAGCAGCAGCTCTATCGGAAAGCATGTGCTCAGTAACTTGGATATTGAGCAGGGTTTCTTGTTTAATAAATCATGACTTAATATGAAAAGACGTCTGGGTTTGTTCAGACGTCGTCCTGCGTAGCCTCGCAGTGATCTTTGCGCGATTTTTACTCGGGAGTCGTATCCGGATGTCTATTTCATACTTTGCATACGAGGTTGACATTTGCGCCGGGTTGTGCAATGTGAGAGTGATGTGAATGATAGTCACTGTACACATGCCAAGCATGCACAACGTGTAGCCTACGTACTGTACATGTACATGTAACTTTCGGTCAACAATGGCGTGTAGTGCGATATTAACGTCGGCATTTCCGTCAATTGATGGCGAGTTACTGACTTATGTGACCGGTATGTTCTATGTAAAACGAGTTTTTATATTGTTGACCGTACAGTCAATCAAACAGTGCTTAAATGTTCCAAATCAAGGAAGTAATTATGACATTTTGTGTGGCTTGAACATGCCGTCATAAAGTTAGAGATCAGAATTACATAGGCCTCTGATGATCACGATGATCATCATGGCTCGTCCGGCACACGTTTTTTTCATCAGCCGTCACTGAACATAGGGAAAGAGTTCCGTTATGTAGGAGCAACACTTGATGCCCTTGTGCACAAACCGGAAAAAAACCTTCAGAATTTTCTGGGCTAAAAACTTTTTTAGGCCTAGGGCCTCTCCCTTAATTTCTGGCGGCTATTGCTGTTACTGTCATTGTCAGACCTACATAAGCTGTGTAGGGGAAAAATTTTGTTTTATGTATATCAATTATCATGGAAATTGGAGTGCTATCTGAACTGAACCGTACAGACTGTTACACCACAACCCTACCAACTGTGTCCATACTCCAACTTAACCCCAGAACTGTGGGGTCCGGCATCTGTTCCACTTCGTGGGAGCGGAGCGGACATCGGACCCCACAGTTCTCGGGGTAGCTCCAACTGTCTTCAAAACACAGTTTGAGCATTCCCAACTTATGACAAGCCCTGCTTTGGAACAGTTTTGCATGCCTTTACCCTAGGCTAGTTATCCAGCAGTTTTTCCAAGGATTTTTGTGTTTTTAATTATTTAAATGTTGGGATGACCATGATGACAATTGTCATGATTATAACGGGAGACTTTGAGATGTTGGTGGCAGCAGAGGTACTGGTCCTTTTTCAAGGTATTGCACATGCTCATAACTATGTACGTGTGCTTAGAACTCTGAGCTGGTAAAAAGGAATGTTTGTCGCCACTAAGCGCCTCAGTCTCCCATTGCTGTTTCTTTAACCCTAACAGTCCTCAGTCCTTCACCTGTTGGAGGACTGAGGACTTTTAGGGTTAGTGATGTCAATATTTCTCATTGACTTTGTTCTCTCTTCTGTCATTCCTTCTGACCGTCATTTTTTTTCAGTGTGTTTCCTTTGGTGTTTTTCATTTTCAATCTGAAGGTTGTTTTGATCTTAGTCCCGAATGTCGGTCATGCTATTTTGCGTCAACTCGCACGAGTAGCGTCAACAACTTGAAAATACCCTCTACAGAGTAAAAAGGGGTTTTATTATATTTTAGAGACTCTAACACTTGCCATTGTATAAGAGAAACACCACATTTGCTTCCAGATTCTCACACAAAAACAAAATTTTTTTGCGATGTATGGGGGCCACTATCTTTCTTTCCCTTGCTATCCACGTGAAAACAAGATGGCAGGCGGTCTGACTGCACAAAATAGGCCTGACTTTGTAACTCGAATTTCAACACTCAAATATCATTTCAGATAGATATAATACATTGAATTTGATATAGGACCCTAATCAACATTTATATAAAAAATGTTTGCATAAATATGCTTGAATAACTTGTTGGCGCTTTGTTGACGCTCGTTGACATTTTTTGACCCCAGTACGCATGCAGTAGCCAGATAATACTAGGCATTGTTTTGCCTTGAAAATGAATGTTAAAATTACCTGTATTTTCCCAGGTGTGTTGGAAGATCCAGAGGAGTTTAACAGTGCCAGCGATGTTTACGAGGCAGTGGGTGGAGTCTTGCATGAAGTGGCACAGGACAAGGAGGAGGGGGAGATTTTGTCGCTGTGTGAAAAGCTGCTGCATGCTGTCAAAGTGTGAGTTCTGAGTATGCTACGATTGGAGTGTTTCTAGGTTTATAGACACCCTAGCTTTGCCCGTGCCTCGGAAATGGGGATCATGTACAGTATAATACAAATTAATTCATCGTATTGCACATGTCCGAGAGCTCAGAAAAAGTGAGGTTTCAGAGAATGCAGTCTTGTGTGATGCTGCGTCTCTGTGAGATAAAATTTCATTCCAAATTTCATTGATATTGGGTACCAAAATGTTGATATATGTACTAAATATTTTCCATGACCGGTATTCATGTACACCTGGTGACAGTCAAAAAGCTGGAAAGGATTGTCCATTAAAATACTCTTTAATTTGTATGTGGTTCATAAATTTCCTGTTTTGAAGAAGAAATCTTCCTTCTGTTTGAGGTTGGTTTGGGGGAAGAGGGTAATATTTGGGAATTTCATATATGTGTAGGTAATTTCTATCTTGATCAATATATTGATCTGTGTATCGTGGCACACACAGACTCTTGACCAACAGGAATAGATTAAACTATCTTGTAATCAGGTGCCAGAGCGTTTTTATGCAGTGGGCATTTTCAAATCACAACAAGCATTATCAAATGTTGATATACGGTCATGATGCGGGTTGTTGAATAGGGATACTGTCCAAGGTTTTTATGAATGAAATGTATTGTCAGCATCTTGCCCAGCGTTCTTTCCTCAGGCATATTAGCAGGTAGATGGGAATGTTGTGATGTCTGATAGTCTTGAACATTTAGTGATAATGTAATGTAAAGGCCAGACTTTTCTGCATTGGGGAAAATCCGCAAAAATTGCCGATTTGTGGGTAGAAAGTGGAAAAGGCAATTCTCGGGTAAAAAAAATAAATAAATAAAACCAATAAATATTTTTGATCGTTTCTGCACAATTAATTAAATAAATATGAACCCAAATTAGGAATGACAACTCATTTTCATTAACTCACTTTGAAAGTAACATTTTTTAGCGTTTCCCCTCCTGTTTTTCCTTTGCGATATCGCAGAAATCGGTATTGATTTCCTCCGGCTCCACACCAGGGAGATCACACTGGTCCCCGTTCCCTACATAGTGCCCAGACATCTCACAGCTTATGAATAAATCAATCATGTCAATACGGACGGGGACCAGTCCAAGATGACAATGGCATGGTGCATGTAGGCCCTACATGTATCATTATGCCAAAGATACCTGTAGATGTACGGTAAATGTAGGCCTACAGTACAAATGTACAGTACATGTATGTAACCAGAGGGTTATCTGATAACCCTTTGTTACATACATAAATATTAAAATCTAGAAAGCAGAAGTTGACTTTCAGAAAGCAGAAACTTCTAGACTTTAATGTAATGTCTTTCAGTGATCTGTGATCTTTTCTTTCAGGAATGACCAAGGTTCCAATGCATCCAACGCATCAAGTATGGTCCGTCTTGATGCACCGGTCCATATTGGTGCAAAACTAGAGGAAGGTGAGATCCAAATATTGAAAGAACACTTGAAATTCCACTGTGTTGTCTGTAGACAAGTGGCTGATTTTCAGGAACACAATCCTTGTTTAAAAAGCTGTGTCTACTGTGTCCTCAGGTACCAAGGTAAAAATGTGACTGGACTTTTTAAAAAACATTTCATTTGCAGAGGCAAAGATTGGGAACGAGGAGGTGTCAATTTGGATCGTAAAAAAGGGCAATTCAATGGTGAGTAGCGGAGATGGACATTCAGCCTTGAGTACAGAAGTCTGGGTTTCCCCTTGGGTACTGACAAGCTTGAGGTGGCATGACATATGAAGTCGAAATGCCTGTAACAAATTGACGCGTTGCCGACCATGTGGACGGGGCTGATGTGTGTAATATTTCTATATTTACTCACAATCCAGTTTTTTCTCTGAATGAATGAACTTTGCCTATCAGGACTATGCAAAGGAAAATTATTTCACACACAATTCTCAAACATGTTGTGTATTTTTCTTTGAGTTTCATTTTTATTGTGAGGCAACAGTATTGGCCAAAGAGGGGCTAAGCTGGTCACTAGGAATGGTGAGATAGGCTGCCTCATGTTTGAATAGCGAGTAAAAATTCTGAGTGGAATACAGTAATGTTCTTTATTTGTAGGGATTGACAGTTTCATCCAGCAGGTTTTAATTTACTGTAGATATTTTCAGATGTTTTGAAAATGTTGGTGACTTGTACTGTGTTTCTTGAATTAAAAAAAGTCTGCATGGAAGTTTACATATCTTGGACAATTTAGGCTGGTTCAGCATTTATCAAAGCATAATTTGAATGCTTGTTGATCTTAAGCAAATTTTGCGTCAATTTATTTATTTCTCAAATTGTCTATTCTTTCAGCTGGTTGATAAGAAGAAGCTGGAGAAGGCAGAGGCAAAGATCAAAGCCAAGCAAGAGAGGAGAGCCCTAAAAGACGACAGTACCATCAAGCAGACTGGGTGAGCGCATGGCTTGGAAAAGTTGTCACTAGAACCAAAACAGATGGAGTCCCAAGCCAGGTTCTGTCAGATTAAATTGATTTCAAAGTCACGTGTCTGTCGAATAGAATTGATTCATTAGTCATATTGTATCAAATAAATTGAAATCATTGGCCGCAGAAGTGGTGGGGTGGCAGGGGTTTTGACTGGGGTGAGGGTATTCCCTCCCCCTCTTACTTTTTGCAGGTCTTATAATGACATGGGGTTTAAGAGATTGACCTGGCTGATGCTTGATAATCTCACAACTGTCCCCTCCCTCACTTTGAAAATTGCTTGGCTGCTGTTCCAGGGACTTGATTCCTAAGTCAGACTCAGCTTGCCGGAGCTTGACACTGGAATTGAGTAGAATGGATTTCAAAGTTAGATACCAGGATCTTGACTTCCTTTTTTGATGATATTGAGGAACCGAGTCTTCGTTGTAACTAGTTGTACTACCAAGAAATTTTTGCCAGGCAGTCACCGACAGGTTTGAAGAATGGCAGACTTGTAACATAAGTGTGAAAATCTATTGGTCGTTTTTACCCTCTGTATGTACATGTACATTAAACTGTCATTCTCTACTCGTGGCATTGATGTACATGTAAACACTGCATGTTCTCTGTGCTTTTGTTTAACCCCTTGATGACAGAAATTTTTCCCGAAAGCCGACTCCAAGAATTCCAGCCTCGCTTGGCCACGATGGCCCCC